CCCAACCCAGGTGGGAAAACTAATTTAAAATTATAGGATATATATATATATATGTATATATATATGTATATATGTATATGTATATATCCCAAGCATTGAAATGTGTGCCACATGCCTAGACATATACATGTTTCTGTGTGGACATACATTTTCATTTTTATAGGGGATCCAACTTCACTGTTTGTTTTTGGATATGCTGTTATCCCAGCACCATTTTATGGAAAGATCACATTGACTCTTGAGATTACCAAGAAGAAGTGGTATCACTTACATCTTATAGATGAGGAAACAAATCCCAGAAAAAAAATGTGATTGAATCAAGTCCTCCCAGATGGAAACAATTAAGGGTGTGTTGGCTCTTGTAGTGGCCAATAGTATAAGTTATACTTCTAATCCTACCCTGAAGGATTCTTCACAGTTTTCTCAAGGGTCCTTGAGACCACTGACCATGGCAACTTCTTTGTGGTCTGACATCATAGGGACTGACTTGGAGCATCACACCAAAATCTGTCTCGGGATGCAATCTGAGGATTTATATAATCAAACCAATATCCTCATTCATAGGGGAGCAGCTGTGGCCAGCCTATCTCTTCTGCTTGCCCCAGTTTACTGATAACTCCGTTCACCCCACTTCACAGATGACCTTGCAGGCAGACATTCTTCTGCAGAATAGCCTCACATGATGATGGTCAAATCCAGTTCAAGGCTCCAGATGGGAACCTGGACCCAAAACAACCCAAGGAACCATTTTCTGTGCCATTCATAGCAGCTGTGTTATCCCTCAAGGCCTCAGGCCTGAGGAGCTCATTTCTAAGAGGGCCTTTCTCCAGACTGAAGGCTCTGATGAATGCTTGCCTAGTCTGGAAGCGGTCACAGCCCTCAGCTCTTCCCACACACACAACTATGACTGTTTAGCCAGGCCGGAGTACAGGTGAAGGAAGCCATTTCTGAAAAGGAAGCATGATGTTGAAGACTAGAAAGCCCAGTGAGGCATCCAGCATATGCATTGGGATCCAGGGAGAAAGTCATGGCTAAGGAAGTGGGGAAACCTACCTCCACAGTGGCTGATGCACTGTAGAGCACTGTCAGGAGCTGGTCCTAGTGTCAGAGTGTTTTGCTTCTGCTACTAATATGAGACAGAATTCCATGTCACGCCGTCCTCAGAATGGATGCTTTACAGCCAATGAGGCACAGTGCTATCCCAAGTGAGAGAAGACATAGCATGGTCACCTGACTAGAAAGGGTCCACATGACTGCAGGACACCAATGGCTGCTTGTTAAAGCCTTCTAAACCAAAGCTCAACATATATTCTATAGCAAATGTCTTTGCAGAGATTGAAGGCTTTTTGTTGTTGTTCCATGTCTCAGTGAGGGATAAGTGATGGTTCAAAGTTACAGTGTGCCCTCTATTGTACGGGATTCTCCTACACTGAAGAATTAATGTCCTAATTTTTAGCACCCCCTTTAAAAGACACTTGCAGAAAAAGTTTAACCTGGAGGGTCCAGCCATTTGAATGGTCAATAAAATACTATTCAACTATAATAAGCAACTGGTTATAAAGATGTCACACTATAGGCAGGGAGACTTTTCTGTGAAGGGTTTCTCACTAGGCACTCCAGGTCCATGGAAAGGGGAACCCATGTTTGATCCTGGACTCTGCAGTCAGTGATGTTTCTATAGGCCTTATGATGTCAGACCTCAGAGCAGACCCACATCTTAGTTTGTCTCCTGGGAGAATGAGCGTCTTCCCAAGGCTAAGGATTCTCTTCTCAGCATCTAGCTTTTCCAGCTTCACCACACTACCCTCTCCTCATGCAGGTGTGTCTCAAAATGTGTTTGCAAGTAAAAAGGATGGGGTACCTTGAACAGGAAGGAACATACTGGAAAGCTTTTCCCAGCACCCCTGGGATGACTCATTGGCTATGAAGGCCTGGGTACGTTAGTGAGATGGGTGAACCTGTTCTGTGGGCGAATGAGATGTCATGCAGCCTGGCCTTTACCTGAGTCACAGCGATGGCCAAGGTCAGAGCCAGGCTTCCTGTGCTCCGAGCTCCTTACAAACTGGCTTTGACGTCTTTGCAGCCACATCTCTCCCACCCTCATAATTTCCTTGAGTTGTGGATCTGTCAGCAGTAAGAGGTTTTCAAATTAGAAACATTTAAGGATTTTGGCCCAGCTAAATGCTGTCTTAATTATTTCCCAGCAAAACTGTGAGCTCACAGAGACAAATAGTAAGTACACAAATAACCGTGACACAGAATTCGAGAGGTGCCCTTCAAGAGTCAGGGGAGGCAGTCGGGAGAAAGTGCCCAGCAGATTAAGGGGAAAGCCCACACAAAGCCTTACATTCTGAGATGTTTGTATTGATGATAGGGAGGGAGGGGTGGGCAAGGGACTTAGACTCCAGGAAGCGCACTTTCACAGGCACTGTTCCATTGGGTTCTTAGCCAAGTCCATCTTTCTCTAGGACGGGGCCATGGCAGAAAGAGCCTAGGAAAGCATCAGCAAAGCTAACTAAATAAAATGTGCATCTGATTTGCATTTAGCTGGGAAAATAGTCTTACCCTTTCCTTCTGTAAGGTAGCTGCTAAAAACAGCAGGTAGTCCACCACTGAAGGGTGGGGAAGTTTCTGCCCAATGAGTAGAATGCAAGGGGCAAGGGGACCCCTTTTCTGGTCCCTCGATAGAGTCCTCAGGGCTCTGTTGCTCTCTGCCCTCCCTCCTTAAGGGAGTGCGGGCCAGTTTAAAACCAAGAAGTGTAATACAAAGTAGATTAGTGGTTGCCAGGGCCTGGCAAACCTGCTCAGAGTTGTGAGAGTTCATTTGGGGGTTGTGTGTGTTCTGGAATTGAATACTGGGGATAGTTACACAACTTCATAAATACATTAGAAGTTATTTTTAACTGTATAAGAGTAGATTTGGGCTGGAGAAATGACTTAGTAACTAAAAGCACTGGCTGCTCTTCCAGAGATGCCAGGATTGTTTCCAGCTTTCACAGGGCATCCCACAACCATTTATATAGCTCTAGTCCCACGAAGATCTGATGCCCTCTTCTGGCCTCGGCAGGTACCAGACACATCTGTGGTGCACAGGCATGCAAGAGGACAAAAAAATAAATAAATAAAAAATCATAGAAGGATATATTTATAGCATATGACATTCCAAATGCTTTTGCTTGTTAAAAAGGAGCAGACTTGAGCCAGGTGTGTGGTGCACACCTGTAGTTCAGCACTTGGGAGGTGAAGGCAAAGGAGATCCAGAGCTCAAGTCCTCAGCTTCTTGGTGACTTAGAGGTCAGCCTGCGGTACATAACGTTCTTTCTCTAAAAGGAAAGTATGTCATAGAGGGAGAAATACAGCTAGGTAGAAAAGTCTTTTTGTTATTTCTACTTACATTAGTCTCTTTCCCTCCAAGGCCCAGCTGCTGTTGAAGCAGAGGAACTGGGGGGGGGGGGGTTGTGGCACTTTGAGTGTAATATGCCTTGCTATGTCCAGTTCCTGGAACCCCAAAGTGCTCCTTTCTCCGAAGCTTCTAAAGGACTTTCTATGTGAGCGAAAGAGTCCCTGAAAAAGGGACACAATCTGTTCGCTCTCCACTAACACTTGAGCAGGTTGGTCTGAGTGACTAGACAGTCTCTGGGCAAGGCCACCAATAACAGGAATGGCAGATGACTCACCTCAGTGAATGCTATCTGAGCAAACTACCAACAGCCTGTCCCTATTGACTAGTATGCAGTCCCTCCCTGATGTCTCTGAAGGAACAAGCCGTCCCCACTCTGCAATGGCCACAGACTTAGAAAGATGGGGGAGGCCTGTACGACCTCCTGATGAATTGAGCTATAACTCCAAGCCACCTCGGATGGGGGCTCATGTTGATTCTGCCATGATTCTGCCTCTGCATGAGGAGGTCATGAGCATTTCTGAGTCAGGAGGGTTGGTGCAGTGATAGGTGTAAACTGGAACAGCATTCCCGAGGAAGAGCAATCCTGCTTAGGAGACTGCGTTTTTTGTTTGTATGTAGCCAGTCTCAGATTCCAGGGGTAATTAATGGAAGGTCTTCTAAAGACTACCAAAACATAGTCAATAACTCCGCCTTGTACAGGCAGTGAGTTAGGAGGCTCTTCAGTTATGTGGGGATGGGGGACATCTTTACAGAAATCCCAAATTACCCCCAATTAAGAGGAAAAAAATAAAAAGAGAAACCAACACCATAGCTTCTTAAGCCATTGGTAGCAGCATCCCACTGGATGTGGGAGTTACAGGGCAGCTTGACTCTATGCCCATTTAACTGAATTGCAGTAGTAGGTTCACCCCTGGAGTCTATGAGCTCCCAAACCTTAAGTTCTTGGCTGGATTCCAGTATGGGGCATGCATTTCCTTTGGTAGAGCAGTCCTAAATCCAAGCAGAAAGCAGTTATTTACCCCATTAACAATGCTGCCACTACTGTGACCATGGGCACATGATAGTTCTCTGATAGCAGTAAACGTTTGGTTTGTGTACCTATTTTACACACCCGTGTCCTGGGGATCAGTAAAAACTTACCAGGTGAAAAGGAGTCTGGCGTGGAAATGTCTACGATGACCTGTTCTTCTCTCTTCCAAATTAAGAGCAGAGATATAAGAGATCACAGTGGGGACACGTTCATTCCCGAGCACTTTTCTGCCTTTAGAAATGTGTTTACAAAGATCAGTAGGAACTCTGTAGACAGAGCTGTGTCTAGATAAGGTGCCCAAATTCTCCAGTGGTGGCAGCAGAAGGGAGGGCTTTATGGATGTGAACAGATGGATACCCTGGCTCTCTGGGTGGTACCTCCCTAACATTCAGTTTACCCAACTCAAACTTCAGGAGTCCTGATACACTGGAATTCCTTGACGGGTATGGAAAGAACAAAGCTCCCCCGGGACTGATCTGAAGCCCCTACAATAACTTTGTACAGTAGCCTTGACTCCATGAGACAGCATCCGAGATCACCTTCTGATCTACCCTGGTTTTCCTCCAGGTGGACCTACCATGACTTCTTCAACCGGTATCGTGTGTTGATGAAGAAGAGAGAGCTTGCCAACACCGACAAGAAGAGCATCTGCAAGTCTGTGCTGGAGAGTCTCATCAAGGTGATCCGGCTCTAGGAGGGCACGGACCAAAAGCCCCAGTGGTGGAGGGTGGAGGCTACCTACAGCTTTGACTACATCCCCACAAAACCACCTAAGACATCAAGTCATTGCCTGCAGCAGTGACTGGGAAAGGGGAGTCCCCTCCCCTACCTAGAGCACCCCCTGCTTTTCCACATGTCAGCACACACAGAGAGCAGGTCTCTAGGGTGTGTATGGAGGTGGCCCCTGGTGGTGGCTGCTGCGGCTGCTGCTGCTGCTGCTGCTGTTGTTGCTGTCTCAGCTTCTCCGGCCCCTCAGAGCTGATGTGCCCAATGGAGATCCGAACTGTAGTCAGCCTCAGCTTGTTATAAATAAAACAGCAGGTTCTCAGGCCTTTGAAAAATTGTTTTAAATGAAACAACCTTAAAACTACATTAGAGGCTGAGAAATTTTAAGAGCAGAGCCATGAGGGGCAAATCCTTAAATATTTCAGTAGTTCTAGAGAGTTCCAGAGTTATAACAGAGTGTAATAATCTGTGTCTCCATAAAATGCTGAATTGTAGAAAATACCTTTCAGAACATGATAAAATTATGTTAAACATGCTTTTGTAAACTAGCAAGCTAAGACAGTGCTGAGAGGGTGGTGGGATGGTTGGCTAAGCTGTGCTTGGTGGATGGGACTCTGGTTAACTATGATGTTGCTGTGGTCCATCCATCATCGCTGTACATGTCTTGACATCTTATTTTTCATGGCTTAGGAAAATGTGTTTCGGGTCAGCTAAGTTCAGTTCATATATAGCACTGGGAGTTCCTTTCTTTTGGTGTCAGGACTGCACTCATGGGCTTCCATGACCACATAACTGGCTCCACTTTGTCCACGTAGTTCACCCTTACCCGGATCCCCCAAAGGCTATTAGCAGAACCTTCCCTCCACAGGTGAGGAAAATGAAGTGCAAGAAGTGGCTGTAAATTCCTAGGGTTTCACAGGCATCATGGTGCACGGTGCCTCCTGATCTGGGGTGATTGGTTAGGGCTGCTGTGCACAGTCGTCCATCTGGAGATAGACTGCTCCCTTGTGCTTCAAGACTTCCCCTGAAGACATTATATTCCTTCTTCAGTTTCCCCATTTCTTGGGTCATGTCTTCCAGATACAACATTCCCACTGAGTAGGGCTTTGGCTAAGCCACAGGTTAGCCTTCTATGGCTGCCCCCTTAGGCTCACACACACACACATCTTTTCCTACCTCCACAGATGTAGCTGCCTAGACCTCAGCCTATAAACCATGAGCCCTTTGAGGGTGGGAGGTCACATATCAGACATCCTGTATATCAGATTTTACATCACAATCTATAACAAAAGCAAAATTATAGTCGTGAAGTAACAGTGAAAATAATTTTATGGTTGGGTGTCACTGTATTGTGAGTAACTGCATTAAAGGGTCACAGCATTAGGAAGACTGAGAACCACTGACCTAGACCATCCTTTCCGAGCATTGCCTGTTTGTTTCTTGCTAATTCTCCCCATTCCTTAAAAGAGAGTCCCCTGCTTACTTTTCTACCTGCCCTCCCCATGATGTTGGATTTGTGAGGGCAGGTTTCTTTTTAATGGTCACACCCTGGATCCATGCCTGTCTTCTCGTGAAGACTCAAGTCTATTTAATGGATGCTGAAGATCTAGGTGTGTCTACTAGGGCAGGGGGAGAGGGGCAGGGGGCACATGCAGTCCGGCAAGTAGTTCTGCTGGGAGGGAAAGACAAGTGTGCTTTGCACAGTTCTTTAACCAGTGGGTCTTCCTCCCAACCTCATAAAGGATCCAGACAAGTTCCAGTTTGGCCGCACCAAGATCTTCTTCCGGGCAGGCCAAGTGGCCTACTTGGAGAAGCTGCGGGCAGACAAGTTCCGGGAAGCCACCATCATGATCCAGAAGACAGTCAGGGGCTGGCTGCAGAAGCTGAAGTATCGTAGGCTGAAGGCAGCTACCTTAACCCTGCAGAGGTTCTACAGAGGACACCTGGCTCGCAGGTGAGTCATTTGAGGGTACACTGGGGTCAGGAGGAAGGGGGGACTCTTTGTCTAGAATTACAGTGTTTCCTCTTGGGCCCATCTGCTTCTTTAATTGCTCCTAGTGCCTGTGTGCATCCCTGTGATGCCCTTCTTTCTTCAGGGAGCAGCTGTAGTTCATGTGTCTCCTGACACCCAATCTATCCCCCATCTACCAACACTAACCTAGTACCATGTGATTTGGGTGCAAATCAACCATTTCTCCTTTGCCGGAACCCCAAGGTGGACCAATGTCTTTTAGGAAGAGAGATGGATCTGGTGAACTTGCATGTAACCCCGTTATTCATACTAGAATTCCAAAGCCCTTGGATGTTGACTGGAGCTGGAAGGTCTGGGGAAGCCTTCCCATGACTTACCCCTGCAATGAGACAGCGTAGAGAGGACATGTCTCATCCAGCCACAGCAGCTACCCGAGAACCAGGACACCAATAACCAATCAGCCTCTCTTCCCTACCCAGTGCCACTCAGAGGGACCACTGTCACTCCTCCTAACTGATGGCACTGGGCTGATGAGGCCACTGAGACCCGTGTGAGAGCCCTGGCTCCCAGTGAGATGCAAGATGTCCCCTCCTCCTTGGGTTGTCAGACTGAGCCCCAGCCTGCCTCACAGCAACGCTCGCTCCTTTTTGCCTTGGAAGATGATGGAAATTGCCATGAAATCTTGTGTTTCTGAGACAGTTTCTCAGGTGGCTGCTCAGCCATCTATCTAATAGAGAAAGAGAAACACAGACCCCACCCCTAAGCTCAGTATGGGTCTCTTTTGTGCCGTAAAGATGGAAGTGCTATTCTTGCTCATGCACTTGCTATGGGCTGCTTATTTGCACACAGCCAGAGATGGCTTTCACCATTGTCCCCCTGTCCTGTTAAGACATCTCCAGTGCAGAAATTGTGGAGATGTAAGGACAGTCGGATCACCCCTGAGTGCCTCTGCACAGTCCCTGCCTACTAATTCCATCATTGTTTCTTGTTCCTCACTGGAGAGGGCACCAACTCAGGCTTCCTGGTGGTGATCCTGCAATAGCATGCTACACTCTCCCTGCAGGGAGCATGTGACCTGGGGGTGGACAAGGCCTGTTAAAGAAACAACAGAGAGACAGACTAGGGGACCCCTGAACCTCAGCACATAGGTGCTTGGTGGCCCCAGAAGGCACTTCCTATCCCAGGGCTGTGCTAACTGATGTCTTAGGTCCTCCCCAGTATTGGGTATTCTAACCCTCTCTCTAAACCCTTGCAATGAACTTGACAGGTTCTCCAGAAGGGTAGGACTACCTGCTCTCCAAGTGGGTGGAGTGCAGAAGTGAGAGAGTGGGAAGTTTGGGGAAAATGAGAAAACCAGGAAGGATCATTGCTAGCCTGGGGGATGGATTCTTTTTAATTCAGAAAACACTTGTCCTGGTCCCGAACTAGATGCAAAAACTCTGAGCTTATGGAGTCACAGCGGGACAGATAGCAGTGTGACCCCTTAAGAATGGGAGATGCTAGGCTAGAGAGACGGCTCAGCAAGTAAGAGCACTGGCTGCTGTTCCAGAAAACCCAGGCCCAACTTCTAGCAACCATGGTAGCTCACACCTATCTGTAACTCCAGTCTAGGTGGGGGCCCAATTAGGGCCGTGAAAGGAAGGGCTTCATGGATAGCTCAGCTGGCCAGGTCCCCTTCCCTGGTGCAACCTGTGCTCTTTCACTACTATACCCAGGCTGGCTGAGCACCTGCGGAGAACCCGTGCAGCCATAGTGTTCCAGAAGCAGTACCGGATGCAGAGGGCCCGCCAGGCCTACCGGAGAGTCTGCAGGGCTGCGGTCGTCATCCAGTCCTTCACGCGAGCCATGTTTGTGCGAAGAAACTACTGCCAGGTGAGTGGCTGCCATGCACACCTCACTTCATCTTCCACCTCCTTCCACCAGGGCCACTGCCTCTTTCTAATGGAATAATCATCCAGCTTCCCCAAACATTAAGCTCTTAGACTGGTTTCCTGTCTAGTAAAATATGGGTAGAAAGAGTTTGGCAGCTGCTTCCCTGTGGACACATAGAGAACTTAGTTAAAATTTTCCATCAAATCTTCAGGTGTTATGGGCCACAAGTGTTCTGTCTCCTAAACCCAAGGCCAGCCCAGCTTTCACCTCAGGGTGGTTGCAGAAAATGCACCTCTTCCCATCCTGCAGAGCAAACCCATAGCCTGTGTGTGCCTGTCCTCACCAGGTTCTCAAGGAGCATAAAGCCACCATCATCCAGAAGTATGCCCGGGGCTGGATGGCACGGAGACATTTCCAGAGGCAGCGGGATGCAGCCATCGTCATCCAGTGTGCCTTCCGGAGGCTCAAGGCCAAGCAGGAGCTGAAGGCCCTCAAGATCGAGGCCCGCTCTGCAGAGCATCTGAAACGTCTCAATGTGGGCATGGAGAACAAAGTCGTCCAGCTACAGCGGAAGATTGATGACCAGGTGAGACTCCTGCCCAGGTGTGGAGTCTTGTGGGATACTGGGATGTGCTTGAGAGGGACCCTAAGCTTTCTCAGGGAGCTTTAGGTAGCAGAGACCTCAGGGAGTATTGCCCAGTTAGCAAAAGTAGTTATTGACTGTAGCACACAGAACAGTGTTCTTCTCCAACAAAGATGCCAAGCCCTAGTCCCCAGGGTCTGTACATGTGTTCCCTCACATCCAAAAGAAGCTTTTCAAGAGTGCATAAGATGTTATGTTAAGTGTTAAAGATGTCTAGATGGAAAGATGATCCTGGGCTACCCTGGTAAACTCCATGGGACCATAGGGTGCTCACAAGAGAAAAAGCTCCCGACAGAATCAAATGGCAGGAAGCAGCTCTACAGAGATCAGATCAGGCCATCTTTAGGAGCTACCAATAACAGTGGGAGGTTCTACCCTGGCGTGTCCTATGGACCACAGTCCTGCTGGCCACATTTAGACTTCTGCACTCCAGAACTGTAATAAAATAGCTTATGCTGTTCTGAACCACCCACTTTGTCGTATTCGTAAGAAACCGATAGATTAATCCAGAGTCCTGTGGCCAGGCAACTGAAGAGGCCATGTGATACTCTAAAGCAGTGACTGGTTGGTACTTACTAAGGTTTCCTGTGAACCCACATTGTGCTTCCCTATTTGTGTATGACCGTCTCCACGAGGTAAATGTCTGGTGTGACACTGGGGTTGCATTGTTTAAGCTTTTAACTCTGTCTGCCCTGGCTACCTTCACACATAAACCAATTAGATAAGCAAAGAGTTAATAATAAATTCCTCTGTGGGTGGGGTTCCAGACAAGGATCTGAGGCAAACATAGGATGCTGGCTCCTTCTTCAGGGTCATACTGACTCAGGGTAGAGTACAAGTTGAAAATAGGTTCACACCACTCAGGTGACCCAAGTGTCTGCTACCCTGCACCCCAGAAGACCTTCATTCAGTGTCTGATTATGTCGGATATTCTGTTAGGTTCCAGATAGGAGGACATGGCACAGGCTGGACACGGTTACTACAGAGATAAACATCCGTGCAGTGGAGATTTTGAGGCTTCCCATAGCCTCAGGGCAGGACAATATGAGAGTCATTTTGCTCTTGATTCTTTTTCTTAAAGATAGACTCTCATATAGTCCAGCGAGTCTGGAGCTCTCTTTATATCACTGTGATTTTTTTGATCACTCTAAAGCCTATCGTAGGTGTTTTATGTTCATTCACATATGATCCGTACCGTAGATGATCCTCCCATGATTTTGTGAGTCATTCTGAAAGATGACATATTGGAACCATCAACTATCTTAGCAAAGCCACAGAGGACCGAAGTCTTAAAATCTGAACTGCACCCAGGTCTCACCCCCCAGCTAGCATGAGGAAGGTGCTGGTTTCTTGGTTCCAGCCGTCACCGATGAGCCAGTCCTGGTCTTTGTTACTGAGTTAGGCTTCCTGAGAGGAAAAGAGATTCGCCAGAACAGGGCTCTGGCTGTGTCAAAGTGAGCGCAGGACTAGGCTTCCAAACAAGCAAGAAGAGAACAGATGTGAGGTGCATATGGCATGGATGTGGGGAAAAGAAAAGCTTCACAGTGGGGCCACCAGGCATGGCAGTGGAGGTCCCCTGACCTTAGTGTACCTGTTCTGTAATAGGCAGTTGTACCTTCTCATAGCCTCGGGGCAGGAAAATAGGTGAGTCTATTTTGTTTTTTAAGATAGACTTTTATGTAGTCCATGCTAGCCTGCAATTCCTTGTATAGCCACGAATGACTTCGAACCTCCGATCTTTCTGTCTCTACCTCCCAGTGCTGGAATCACAGGGCTGGTCTACCAGGCTGTTTTATGCTACACTGGGGCTCAACCCTGGAATACATGCTGCAAGGCAAGCACTCTGCCAGCTGAGCCACATTCCCAGTAAAATGAACCATTTTTGGGCTGAGCTAGTCATCTGACACATGAGCCCCAGTGTAGAGAGAGCTGACAGGGAACACTTTGCTTTCCTACTCTGTGTAGAGACCAGGCTTCTGGGAAGAGCCGGTGCCGTGTGTGTGTGTATGTGTGTGTGTGTGTTTTTGTGAACACGTGCATGCTCATACACACACACACACACACACACACACACACACACACACACTGGGAGTTATCCAGAGTGCTAGCTTGATGGTATGGAAAGACAGCCCTCCCAGTACAAGCTGGGGATGCTCAGTCCCTACCCCGGTCAGCCTGTGTTGACACAGCAAGCCAGGGAGCCAGTGACTAGGGAAGAGTTAATGCTAAAACAACAAGCGCCACAGTGTCCTCTGTGTCTGCCAGGGCTGCCAGGGCCAGTGGCCATTTCACAGTCTCCTAGGCACAATGTGGCCAGGAGGACAAGGGGACTGAAGCCGCTGTCCCCACTAGGAGGAACCTGTGTGCCACAGGTCACCCTGACCCTGGTGGCAGATAGTGCTCAGCACCAGCCTTAGGGATGTGTGAAGTCAACTCCAGAGGATAAAAATAGCATAGTATTTTACACCCCCGCATACTTGAACATCAGAGTGAAGTAGATTTGGAAGGCCTATTTTTAAAGGAAGTTTTTTGCCTTAAACTTCCTGCTTGGCAAACATCTGTGAGCAACGACAGATGTTGTCACCCTGGGCAAGGCTTCCTGTATGTGGCGGGTGATCAGGGGACACATAAGATCTTTCTCACATTGTTCCCCATGTGACTCTCGTGCCAGGCACTATTCCCCACACAGTAACTCATTGATCTTCACCACACCTATGGGCTAAGGATTTACTGTCACCCACATGTTAATCCTGAGTACACTAAGGGTAAGTAAGTAACGTACCAAAAGTCACACTGCCAGTGGGCAACCTGGCTGGGATTGAAACATGGCAGGCTGCTTTCAGGCAGGTTTTGTCATCTGGCCGGGCTCCTAGATCATTCCCATTGGGAGGTCCTTGGGACGAGTAGGGAATGCCCTTCAGTACGAACAGAAACCCTACCGTAGGTTTGGGGTCATGCTCATGAAAGTATCCAGTCCTCAGGGCTGGTGAACAATGTGTGACATGCGTGTGTCACACATGAGTACCACGAGTACTGGAGAGCTCTTGGTGGGCAGACCAGCTATTGGGAAATGAGCTGGGTGTCTTTTTCCCTCTGACTCCAGGAGCTAATCTAGACAGCTGCCCTCTTTACGGTCTTTAGGCCAGAAGGAAAAGATCTACATAGCCAGGGATACCAGAGACAATACATTCCAAGTCACTTGTCAGAATAGCACGACACAGGAGGTGGTGTCCTAGTCACAGGAGACAGGAATCTGCTGGGAGTACTCCCACTGCCATGGGAAGGAAACCGAAAGGCAAAACCGGGGGAGATGAATACCCCAAGTACACGCCTTAAGGCTGAGGACCCCAACTTCAAAAAAAAAAACAAAAAAACAAAAACTCCACTTGACACTGAGCATGTGAGGTCTCAATAGGACAGGGTCACATGAGAGTCCCTCAGGGAGAAACAGGGTGTTCAGGGAGCCTGGAGCTGTCCCTGGTGCTAACACACTTCTCTTCTGGGTTTTTGATCTCAGAAGTCACATGCCACCTCCTTCACAGTGTCCTTCAGCAGGAGAAACAGGGATCATCCCGGCAATTGTCATACAATGTCTCTAGTATTAGATTCGGTATGACATGGCTCAACCAAAATGATAGCCCATGAGCTCTGCCAGTATGGCAGAATGACACGGCCAGATTTTACAGTTTCTTGTAATAGAACTCAAGATTCTTAGGCCCTTGTGACCATGAGGTTGTGTTTAAATATTTTTATCTGAAAAAAAAAATGTAGCCCAAATCAATAGTTCAGTCAGTGGCCTTTAAATCATTTTGATTCAAGATAGTTCATAGCCACTCAGTAAATGTTACATTATGATTCTCATGGGTATCCACGTATGTTAGAAAAACAGTCTGCTGTAAGTTGCAGCCTTTCTGTGCCCCAGTTTCCCAGCTGTGAACTATGTGGGGACTATCTGCCTCCCTCACTGAGGGTGGTGTTTGGTGAGCATAAATAAGGTGCAGTGACAGCATCTGCAGTATGCGGTGACTTCACCACGAAGATTCTTGCAGTGATTTTCCCTCTTCCCACACCAACCCACATCTGACTGGGAACCATAGTGAGTCTGATTGTGTGGTTCTTATGCCTAAGACCCAAAACCTACAGCTACAGGATGCCAGGTGCGGGGGCTGTTGGAGTGACCAGAGTGATGGTGACAAGTGGGAGTGGGAACTGGCAGGCGCAGAAGCCTCTGAGCTGCAGCCAAAGGGACTCCATACAGAACACAGGCCCTGAGGCTCACCAACCACTACCGAACAGTAACAATGTGGCACACACCAGATAAGATTTTATCTTTGTTCCCTCCCTTCTAAGATGGAAAATCTCTCCTACCCGTGGTTTATGTGAGGAGAAGTGGACCTCAGATACCCAGAGGGCCAAGGACAAGATGAGCTCAGGAATAGGTTTGTTTTCTTCCCCGGCGTTTGAGTCTGGTCTCTGGTAGCATCAGGATCAGGGAAGCTGGGCCTTCCACAACCATCAACATTCCGAAGTGACATATTTGACCATAGCAGGGTGAGAAATGCCTGCATCCCCTGCCTCCACCACCATGTGCTAATCTCTTCATATTCCAGTCAGCTCTAGTTAAGGACCTCAGCCACCTCTCTACCCTTGTTGGTCTGGCCCAGGCAGGCCAGCGGGAGTTGGCAACTCATCTGAGCTAACTCACATCTCAGAGCAAAGTTGAAGACAAAGAGTACCTAGCCAAGCATGCCCTCTGCCAGTGCAGAGACCCTCTGCCTCCAGTCTAAACTCAGACCCTGGTGAGCAATTCACACAGGTATTGAGCTTTCTAAATAGATGCTGTGTAATTGGGTTTCTCTAGATTCTCCAGGTGAGGCTGGCAGCAAGACAGGTGTAGGGAGGAGAAGGCTGTACCTAGAGCGCACGGAGAGTGTGGGAAATCTTGCACACGAGGAATGCACACTTGTATATGCAAACCCTGCACTTGATCCGTGTGCTGCTGTGTAGATGGCAGCAGCTTTTCTTTGAGAGTTCCTGTGAGGTTTAATTCCTCTGTGAATTACTTAATTCCTGATGTCCTGGGTAAATGGCGTCTTAGCCGATGGCTATGTGCTGCTTGGAGTTCCTGTGGAGCACAGCAATGAAGAGCGATCAATGTGCACTGCTTGCCTGCTGACTCCGGGCTCTCCTTCCTCTGCTCCTCCTCTCCCCACTGACCACTCTGCCTCACCCCCTCTCAATTCTCCCAGCCTGTCATTTACACTGAGCTTGATCCTGGAAGCAGATTCTCGAGGCCTGATGCACGCACAAGTTGACTGCTGATTGGGTACACGCCCTATGGGTGGGTGTTGTCAGATGTCAGTCTCTCTAGTGAGAGTTGTGTGGTATGAGCCATGCTGACAGGTGGCAAGAGAAATCCTGGGGCCCCTTGGAGGGCCTCTTTGAAAGAGGGGGATGCTGAAGGGGTCCTTTGTCTCAGAGGAGGGGATTAGGTTACAACTCTTTGTGCCAGTAAGTCCAAGGCCAGGAGGGCTTGATGTGAAAGGCTGGGGAACTTTAAGGGGCCAAGACTGCAGATCCAGGAAGCTGGCTCCACTATTCCTACACCCAGCCAACCTACTCTGTGAGTACTCACGTGTTTTCCCTGCACTATTTCAATGTCAGGGCTGCTGTTTGTGGCTCCATCTACTTCTGGGTTCACAATGGAAAATTAAAATGTTAGGGAGATGGCAGAAGAATGTTTTGGCATGCAATGATTCTGCGAATTCATTCTGCCCTAGAAACCCTTTTCTGGTGGCCTTCACAATGTTTTGTGACTCAATAGCCATCTCTTTATCTTTATCCCCCTCCCCCGCATCTGCCGATGCTCTCTACAGAACAAAGAGTTCAAGACTCTGTCGGAGCAGTTGTCGGTGGCCACCTCCACACATGCCATGGAGGTGGAGAAGCTGAAGAGGGAGCTGGCACATTACCAGCAGAACCAGGAGGCCGATACCAGCCTGCAGCTGCAGGAAGAGGTGCAGAGCCTGCGCACTGAACTACAGAGGGCTCAGTCGGAGCGGAAGGTCCTAGAAGATGCCCACAGCAGGGAGAATAACGAGCTGAGAAAGGTATGCATGGTGGCTGAAGGGTTGGTGCGTGGGCTTCATGCTGGGAAATTGTGCTGATTTCCAGGGCTGTGTCCCCCAGCCCAGACAAGCCACCCTCCTTCACTTTGTAAATGGCTGTGCTTATGGGTCATACAGCAGATGTCTACTCCCCGAGCCAAGTGTTGTCTGAGCTGCACTAAACACTGTGGCATCCATTGGGAGAGTAAATGGTTGTCTGTCTTCGCTCATCTTTCTTAAGGCCTGGAGGCAGCTCCCAGGTCAACCCTACAGATCTGGTCCTTAGTGTGAGAGATGACAGGTGTTCTGGCAGCCTGTAGCTGCCACTCCTTCCAGGAAATCATGTATTTCAGGGAGTCTGCTCTGCTGGCTGTAATCTGACTTTCCTGCTCTGGTCCATAGGCTTTCTCCAAGTCCATGAAACAGGACTTCCTAGGGTTGCTTCCACTGTTCCACATGTTCAGCTACAAAGAAGCTCATGTGGACTAGGAAAGTCCCACACCGCAGGGCTGTCTGTGTTCTCTCCCCATCTTTACCATGACCCAGTTAGAGGGAAAATAGTGCATCATCCACATGTTTAGTATTCATCATACGTGAATTGGACATGTGAATTGAGAACCTGAGAAAGGAGAGAGTCGGTGCTGGTTAGTACTGAAAGAAAAGCTCTGAAATTGGGATAGACAATGCTGGCACACCTGGAGCAGACACAGAAATACGGACCCTAATGCCTACACGCTATTGTCAAGTGTGCAAGAACCCCTACTGGTCATAGTGCACATGTGTAGGTGTGTATGTATATACATAAATACACATCAGCTCATGGCCTTGATTGTTATGCCCAGATTTGTGAAGTCTCCCAAAAACCAACAAGTCCCATATGTAAAAGCAATGAGCCTTTATTTTATACAAGTTTGCAAACTCGGTCTCTCTGTGTGACCAACGTATTGGAATAATAGGAGAGCCCCAAGCTCAGTTAGAGTTGGGTTTTTATAGTAGTAAAGGAGGGGGGTGAGGGATTTCTAAGGTTCAGAACCCCTGATTGGTTGACATTTGTCTAGGGATATCCTGGTAAATGTGTGCTGGCAAGTGATCCTATCTACAGTGGTTGGAACGTTAGGGATTTCCTTTGGATGGTCTGTTCCTAGGTGATGCCTGAGTAATCTCAGTTTGTGGTCCTTTTGCAACCAGGTATTGCCTCAGGGTAAACTACTGAGACTCAGGCCTCCATTAAGCTGATCATGGCTGAGTCCAACACTGGCAGGTGATAATGGCTGGAAGTTAAGAACTCTTAACTTCCTCTGGGTGGTCTGTTCTTATTAAGCTTATCATGGCTGGGCCCTACACTGGTCGTCTCTAAAGCTGCTTCTGAACTGGTATTAGCCAGCAGATTCCATTCTGTATGTTTCTCTAAACTGAGTAGAAGACTTCAATTCTGCTCTGTAGTCCTTGGCTCTTCCACTACCCTGTTTCTTCCTTATAGCTGAGAATTATAGACTCTCATTTCTCTTCTCTGGTTCCCACAAAAAAATTGAATTGCTGCCTTGGAGCACCTAAAATAGCTGGGTTTCCATCCAAAGGTAGATAAGGGTTTATTGCACAAAAACTTCCTTGGCAAAGCCAAGCAGAGAAGCCAAGCCCATCCTGCTCTCCTTTAGAAATGGCTGTTGCCTAGGAGCCTGAAGGCCTGGAGATTGAAGACAACTGGAGCTTGGAACTGGCAAGAAAAAGTCCAGGGCACTACAGGGAATAGCTGGAGCAAAGACAGCTGCTCCCCATCTTTTGAGATGGTATTTCACCATGTAGCCCTGGCTAGCCTAGAATTTGCTATGTAGACCAACATAGCCTCGAACTCACAGAGATCTACTTGCCTTTGCCTCTTGAGTGCTGGCATAAAAAATATGCACCAATATACCTAGCTAAAATCCTCTTCTCTAAATCCAAACAAATACAAGCCTATGTTAACAACCCTCAGAAGATGCTGGAATAAAATGATCCATTAAGTGGGAAGATCCACTCTTTCTAGGAAATAGAAAAATGGGACAAGGGAAACAGACATTTTCCTTTCTCTAATGGTCTGTCAAACACTTTATTCCATTGCTTGGAGAATGGTAAAGGGACAGCCAGCTCCTGTTTCTATTCTAGGATCTGCCTATCTGGGGTTTAATATTTAGAAAGGGCAGCATCCAGCCTGAACAAATGCTGAATAATAAGACAGGTGGTTTTCTTCGGGTCGTGTCCAGGGACTTTCTCTGCCTTGAGTGAGATTGATGAGACCAGCAAAGCACAGAGACGGAGCCAGCGGTGGTAGATGTTTAATTAATAGGTTTGATGTTTCTGTCAGCAGAAATTGCAACTGCTGTATTGGAACTGGCATCCTGAAACACTTGGGGCTGCCACCTCCAATGGTTTCACCTAGTAGGCCACATTACTCCACTGCCTTAGCTCTTCGGAGTCCGGAATTCATTTCTGTGTCCACAGAGCATGGAGCTGCTCCTGTCATACCCCAGCCTATCATTTTGTAAGGGAGACATTACTTGGAACTCTCCATAGAGCATTCCCCCTAAGGCTCTTAACCTTGTTCCTTCTGTAACCCTCAGCATCCCTCCCTGGCTGCCATCACACAGCTATGCTGTTTTGTGTTTTGTGTGGGTGGCTTTGTTACTTAGAAGGGAGGTGGCTCCTTGGGCTGCCATTGTCATGGAGGCAATGGCTCTGTCTTAGTTAGGGATTCAATTGCTGTGAAGAGACACCATTACCACAGCAGATTTTATAAAGGAAAATATTTAATTTGACTGCTGAACAGTTTCAGAGGTTTGTCCCATTATCATCATGGTAGGAAGCATGGTGGCATGCTGCAGACATGGTGCTGGAGAAGGAGCTGAGAGTTCTACATCTTGATCCACAGGCAGTGGAAGAGAACTGTGACTCTGGGTGTAACAAGTATAGGAGACCTCAAATTCCATCTCCACAGTGACACACTTCCTCCAACCAGGTCACACCTACTCCAAATAGTGTCACTCTCTTTGGGGGCCATTTTCTTTCAAACCATCATGTCCTCCTGATTTAGAACATGCTCTTGAAGGTTGCACAGAGCCTACCTTAGTACAAGATTCAGTGGGAGGGAAAAAGTGACCTGTAGCCAACTGCTTGACCCTAAGGCATCCTTGGCACTTTCCAGGTGTCTGGTAGGTCTTAGGTTCTGTGCCCTTAGGCTGGTGCATAGGCTGTGTGTTCTTTCACCTTACCAGTCACGATCCACTGAGATGGACCAGCTCAGCCAGGGCACTGGGATCGATGGGACAGGGTCTCAGGAATAGGTGTGTAAGGAGTTGGCAAATAACAGACACAAGACTCAAAGGAATCACATCTGAATGCGTCTTTACTAGGCATGGGGCTCATCCTTTATACAGAAGAGATTGCTTAGCAGCATGTATTGTTTTTTCATGTGATACAGATTATTCTTAGAATCATTATATCAGATACATGAGAATAGAATTTCATCAGACAGATGTTCCCTGGTATGAGTCTGCAGTTGGTCATGCTACACATGGCTTGGCGTTAGTTTTGATATAAATCTTTATCTAGGCTATGAGTTCATGGCATTTTGAGCTAAGGGCAAGTGGTTGTGGTTAATAGTCACACAGACTACAGTCTTTTATATTTCTGCCATCTATGCAAAAGAACTTCTTCTTTCCTTCTCCCTCTCCATATTTCTAACTCCTTTTCAAACCTTCCCCAAAACCAATCTCAAGACAATACAGGCATTTATCTCTCTCTTCTATCCTTATCTCATTTTTGCTGAATCTGTCTTAATTGCTTAATTAAGTTTGCCTTTTTTTCTTTATTTACTAAGCACCAGATTAAGCTTGGGAACCTTTTCCCCTTGAATATTAACCCATCTTCCTCCATTAGCATCATATAGTCCTGTTATGGCAATAGCTTATCAGTAGACTCTGGAAACTAAAACACACTATCTTCCCTTCCAGAAGAAACCAGACTGCATTCCTTAGAACATAAGCAGGTAATGCCAAAAGTGCAAGGGCTCCAATGCAGGAAACACAGCACACACACCTTCTCTGCGGGCACTCTTCCTTGAAGCTTGTGCCACATCTCATGTGAGAGATCACGCAGACTCTGCAGGAGGTGGCATGATTGGTTGGTGGCATGATGGAGGTGGCAAACCTACTGGTTGGTTTCCTTGGATGATTTCAGTTTGTGGCCGTAGGTCTGAGGTCTTGCTGAATGGAAATAGAGGCATCTGACCGGAGAGAGTCCAGGGCTCTCGTTTGTTGAGTCTTCACTATATTCAGCACAGGGATTCTTGGGCCTGCTGTCCTCGGAGTTACGTTTTCATTGGCTCAGGATTTGTGGCTTCATGGAAAGGCTGACAGTTATTAGAAAGGGCTGTAACTCATCTCTGTGGATGACAGGTCTTGCCACAGGATGATAGAAGTCATTGTCCTTCACTCCGCAGGTGTTTATTGAGTGCCGTGTGTGTTAGAGACTATTCTATTCTACACAGTGGGACGAAAAGAACAATCAAAATCATTCTTAGGAAACAGAAGATAGAGACAGGAGCCCATGATAATCCATCACATGCTGTAAGAGAGTGCGGAGCAAAGGGGATGGAGAGTGACCTGTAGGGGTATGGGTCATGCGTGACCGTCAGAGGAGCCTCTCTAAGAGGACAACAGAATGTGCTGAGAATGAGCCCTGAGGACTTCTGCAGTGGCTGAGCAGCCAGGAGACGGATAGGAAGGATTTGGCAGAGAGGACAGGGAAGGAGCTGGGAGCACTCTGTGAGCTCAGGAACAGTTGTAGCTTGTGAAACTTCCAGGGATGGGCAACTGTCTTCAGCATTGAAGGCTCTGTGGGCTTGGGTGTGAACTAGAGCACATCCCCCAAACTATCCCAGAGACGCGAGATTTAGCCATTATTTCCAAAGGATGTTAATTTCAGCTTTTGTGTTAGGATTCCACTGCATAAATATTTAACACCACTGTTGTCACACTGTGTGTGTGTGTGTGTGTGTGTGTGTGTGTGTGTGTGTGTGTGTGTAGGTCAGAGGATAGAGGATAACTTTTAAGAGTCAGTCCTCTCCTACCATCTGGAATTGAGCTTAGATAATTAGGCTTGGTGGTAGAGACCCTTACATTTTTTTAATGTTGCTTCTTTTCCTTATTTATTTATTTATTTATTGTGGTCATAGTCACCTTTGGTTGAACTCATTTTCTTAAGCACGGCATTTACCAATGACCCACCAATTTCCATCACCCCATATTTCCTTTAGTAGTGTTGTCAGGAGTCACATGCTGGGCTTAGATCTGGATGTTGGTACCAAATGTGTCTCCCTCTCTCAGAATCTGGAGCACTGGTCCAGTGAGGCAAGCAAGGGCAGGTGGGTCAAAGCCCAGAGATGATGTGACCATCGTGAGCTTTTGGCTTTCCCAAGACTCAGCTATGATAGCTTATGATTCAGCAAGAGAGACAGGCACAAAGGGCTGTCTTTTCTATGCATTCCTCAATAGGGAATGTGAGCTGAACAGAGACACTGGGGGGCGGGGGGGCTGTGAGTCCTGGGTGATCACATGCACTTTGACCAGCTCCGTCTTGCTGAGCTTGCATTTCTTCTCTATGTACGTAATTTCCCTTCAGAATGAAAGCAGCTTTGGTTGAAGCCGTTTTCCTAGGTAGGGAGGTAGGGCATCAGAATTCCATCTCCTCTGGAGGAGCCTCATCTTCTTCTGTCACACAAAGGAAGGGTTTCTTTGTTTTGTTTGGTTTGGTTTGGTTTTTCTGGTTTTGTTTCACCTGTTGATCTCTTTCAGCGTGTTGCAGATCTGGAACATGAAAATGCTCTCTTGAAGGATGAGAAAGAACACCTTAATAACCAAATCCTGCGCCAATCCAAAGGTAAGCTCCAAACCAGCTTTGCATCTCTCGTCCCAATTTTCCTGGCCTCCTGGAGGAGGAAGGACTTACTAAAAGAGATCTGGAGAAAAGGACTGTGGATCTTAGCATCCTGCTGTGACATTCCTTTGAAGCCTGACACTGCTTTGCAAAGTTCTGGAACCTTGTGCAAGGATCCCACCTGAAAATGGGCAGGAAAGACAGACCTGGAAGGGCTTGTGGGAGGGGTCAGCAGGATACGCAGGTGAAGTGCTTAAGCTGGTGCTCAGCACAGTTGAGTGTGCACAGTTGAGTGTGCTCAGTTGAGTGTGCACAGCTTTTATATTTGTCTTGTTCATCCTTATCGCCTGTGTCCCCTACTATATGATTAATATGTTTGCTGAAGGACAGGACCTTTGATTAGACCCTGGAGGAGCCTCTCTCAAGTGCTCACCAACTTCCAGGCTGCCACCCATTCCTGTGGCTCGCTTATCTGAGGGGGGACAATAAAGTACATAAATCCAGTTCTTGTCTGCTCAGTGTAACCAGATCTCCTCCTATCCTTAGGGTTCTTCCTCATCTCAGAGGGCAGCTGAGCATCATAACCTCAGAACCCCTCACCAGCCTAAGATCTTGGGACAATATAAGATGCTCTCAAATTGCCCTTTAAAAACAAAACAAAAGTTGCTTTCCACTATTATGGATACAAGCCTGGCAAGAGAATAAAACCCATCTGGATTTCTTAGGTTCCTAGCCCACTTTCCCCTATGTCACCTCTGGTCATGGACCTGAAGGATCAGGATTGTGATGAGAGCTCAGAATGAAGCCTGGTTCTGCTGTAAATGCTGCCAGTAGTCCTTACACGTTGTCACAAGAGAGGCAGGCTTGTGGATTGGGTGGGGTGCTCGTGTGCTTTGAGAGTTTCTCTCTCCACCTCTCTGAGAGCAGGGTCACCCTTCTTCCTGTCAGAACCCTTGGTTTAGAATAATGAGCCCCTCCTCAACTCCACAGTAGGTGAGGAGAATGAGAGACTCATCCACAGCCTCTGGGATGAGCCTGTGTGGGCAGCCTCTTAACAAGAGATTAGTCAGAATGCTCCTAGCAAGGCATGCGCATTGGAGAATCCCCCTCAGTTGCTGAAAGCCAGCTTCCCATGCCTGCTTTCCAGCTGAATTTTCCCAGAGCTCTGTGGAGGAGAGCCTCCTGATGAAGAAGGAACTGGAGGAGGAGAGGTCCAGGTACCAGAACCTCGTGAAGGAATACTCCCGGCTGGAGCAGAGATATGAGAACCTGCGAGACGAGGTGACCGTCCTAAAGGCAAGGGAGGCAGGCAGTTCTGCTGCCTGCTGGAAATGGCTTCCTTTTCTGCCCTTCTAGAGCTGGCTGTATAGCTCTTGCTGTCTGGCACTGCCCTGCTCAGCAAACATGCATGTGTGCAAGGACCACTTATTCTTTCGTTCCTATGGGAACTCTTGTTGTTAGGCAGCTGCCAGCCAGTGGTCCCTCCCTGGGGATGTCCTTTCTCAACACGGAGGTTCTACTGAGATCTTAGGAGGCTGAGAATTATTTTCCTGTTTGTGTATGTTGTCATCCTGTTTCTTGTTCTAGAGAAATCTAATGTCAAGACAGTGGTGTGGTAGGCTGTGACCTCAGTTGCTTTGGCACAGATGGAGTGAGACCCTTGGAGCCTGATTGGGTCTCCTAATGTCTGAAAAAATACAAGACATTTTTGTGACATTTCAAGATGTGACATTCTTATTTACCCATACATATGAATCCTCCCTCCCAACATACATATTCAACATCAGTAACTTAGTTGCATGGAAACAGGAAAGCAATCTGAAAAGGAACTGAAATAGAAATCTAAAAATTCCACCAAGCTTGGCTTTCACTCTTAAAGACAAACCGGCTGCCAAAAAATAAACTGAAAGTTCTTTTTCAGTGACTAGCACGGAAGGTGCGCCCTATTTCTAATCACTACCATTTCCATGAGCAGAAAGGGGTGGACGGAGAGGCTGTTCGGGGTAGGGTTGCAGCATTCCTTTCAAGAGCCTGGAGAAGGGTACACCGTGTACATTCAGGGTGCACAGCTGCGAGTGAAGGGCTGCTCCCCCTCAGTTTCTGGGTGTTGTGGGTTGTAAAGCATTCAGAGGCAAGGGAAGAGCCGGGCACATGGCTCTTTAGTAGAGCATCTGCCTAGCATGTAAGGGAATAGCTAGTAATCCAGTGTTCCAAGGAGCAGTGCTGCCCAAGCTTGGTGACAAGCGAGGCAGTTGGCTGATGTCCAGGGCCTGCTGCTCCTTGAGAAGTTAGCTCTCATTAATACGAGCTGGTTATGAATGGTCACTTTTTCCTCCTTGAGCAGCAAACTCCGGGCCACAGGAAGAACCCCTCAAATCAAAGTAGTTTAGAGTCTGACTCCAATTATCCCTCCATTTCCACTTCTGAGATTGGAGACACCGAGGATGCCCTTCAGCAGGTGGAGGTAAGTCTGGGCACTGTCTGCAGCTGTCCTTCCTGGGACGTGTTAATTGTCTGAGTGGAACTACCCACCAGAGATTCCTGCTCTGTGGGTGGTGGCTCAGAGGGTCCAGGGGATGGACACTGAGGACAGGGTCACTGGGTTGCAATGGACTTACAGACTGTGCAAGCCACACGGTCAGAGTACAGCTCAGCATTTGTGTAGATCCTGCTTCCTTGCGGATATGAGCACTGCCATCCCCGAGGCTGTGCTCGATAAGGCAGATCCGGAGCTGGCCAAGTACAAAGAACTCATTACACGAGGTGGAACAAGGTCATGCTGCCACACATGTACACGGCAGAGTTAAATACAGGCTATATATGTGCTCAGACACGTTACCCACTCGTAAGCAGACACATGTTTGTACACATACATAACCCACATAGTAAAATCCGGACAGGAATCTGAAAGGATAGAAATACACTGAGAAATGGGTGCATTAAGATCATGGGCTTCATGGCAAGGAGGGTGCTGGTTATTTCAAGTTGCAACCAGGTAGTTGTTGGTATCACATTTACAGTGACTGTGGCCACAGTGATCCCGCATCAGGAAGCACTGTGTCCTGAGATTTCGTTTCTCTCATGTAATACCATTCTCCAGAAGTGAATTCCCTTTTAGCTCCCAAAGAAAATGCCCATGCCTGTGTCCATTTATTCTGAGGATGTGTGATTGGTCAGTTAAGCGACTCACACTGGAGGAATGTAAATGACCGAGACAGAGATCTAATCTAGACGAGAATAAATAAGCCTGCAGCGCCAGCTTTCCTAGGAGAAATGCTAGTGGTTTGGCACAGGCTTCGTGTTGGAGGCGAGGACTGGTGTTGGGGAGGAACAAGGAGCCAGATGGCTGCTACAGAGGTGGGCAGCGAGACATTGTGTGTTCCCAGAAGCATTTGTGCTGTGGAAACCACCTTCTGTGCACCCCTCTCCCCTTGCAGGAGATTGGTGTAGAGAAGGCAGCGATGGACATGAGCGTCTTCCTGAAGCTGCAGAAGAGAGTGCGGGAACTGGAGCAAGAGAGGAAGAAGCTGCAGGTGCAGCTAGAAAAGGAACAGCAGGACAGCAAGAAAGTGCAGGTGCGTGGCAGCCTGGGAGCCCGTGGCAGCCTGGGAGCCCATGGCAGCTCTGTGAGCCCATGGCAGCCTGGGAGCCCATGGCAGCTCTGTGAGCCCATGGCAGCCTGGGAGCCCGTGGCAGCTCTGGGAGCCCATGGCAGCCTGGGAGCCCATGGCAGCTCTGTGAGCCCATGGCAGCCTGGGAGCCCATGGCAGCTCTGGGAGCCCGTGGCAGCTCTGTGAGCCCATGGCAGCCTGGGAGCCCATGGCAGCTCTGTGAGCCCATGGCAGCCTGGGAGCCCATGGCAGCCTGGGAGCCCATGACAGCTCTGTGAGCCCGTGGCAGCCTGTGAGCCCGTGGCAGCTCTGTGAGCCCATGGCAGCTCTGTGAGCCCACGACAGCTCTGGGAGCCTGTGGCAGCCTGGGAGCCCGTGGCAGCCTGGGAGCTTGTGATGACAGCCTGTGTATTTCTCGTGGGATTTAAGTCCAGCTCTGGGTCATGTCACCAGCACATCTATTCTCGGGCCTATACTGAAAATCATGGGATTTGACCCTCTCCCACTTCCTTGCCCCCCCCCCCCCCGCCACCTGTATCTGAACTCTCCTTTCATGGTGTCTTTCTTCCCTTTCTAACCAGAAGCAGTGCAGACTCAGGTGTGTGTGGCTTGCTGTCAGATTCCTGGGGATATTTATGTTGTTTGGTTTCTTTGCTTTGGTTTGCCTTAATAAGCAGTAAGTGAGGAGGTAAAGCTTGGTGGATTTAAGTCTCTCAGGTCGATAGATTCGGCGTGGGGAGTGAAAGCGTTAGGTATACAGGTGCCTCTTCTGATGGCAAGCGAAAGCTATCTGGAGACAAACACAACCCAAATACTAGACAGATGTTCTTTAGGCCGTACCCCAAAACCCACTGTCCACTGAAGATGTGCAGAGTTAAAAGATCCTTTAGTCCCCCACGCTTCCAGACACGAACTCAGCAGCAACACAGGTGCTGGAGCTTCACCCTCGTGATCGGTGGGAATGAAGAGAGCTACCATTGCTCTGTGGCACCGGTGGATTCCCCACTTCAGAAATGGACGCCTGGCTTCAGAACTGACTTGTCTGGATACCAAGTGAAAAGGGGACTCTCAAAGTATAATCGCCAAGCAAGGCCAGTGGACTATGTCCTGTGTGTTGTTGCCCGCAGTTGGTACGGCAGGAAATATTATAGACCCTCTATTATCCTCTGAGATTAAACTTCCAGAGATCAAATTTCTGAATCTTCACCTGACTTCAGAAGGAACCCTAAGCCACCTAGAGAGCTATAATCCAGGTCCCCAACCATAGAGGTCATGTACCCAATACATGACTGAGGTGTCTGTGGAGTGCTCCATCCGTGTAGAGTGACTTAGCCCTCATGAGAGGGGAGCCTCTGTGGCTGCTCGTCAGACTGCTCCATCTATCCTGACCTGGCACAGTTGCCTTGTCCACTACAGTGATTCTGACAGACCGTGTACTTAGAAACATGACTTACATGGCCCTTAGGGTGTGAATGCACTATCCTCTTTCTCTGAGAATCTCATGTATTCAGCATTTAGAGGGGTTATGTAGCCTCTCTATGCCACACAGAACACAAGTGCAGGCCACTTGCCTAGCAGCAGGGATGCTGGCCCAGGTCATTCACATCCCTGCTCATGGTGATGGAGGAAGGCAAGGCAGAAGTTGGTACCTTGGCAGGGCTTTTCCCGGCTTACAGGGCAGCAAATACACATGTCCTTCATCTGGGAGAGGTTGTAAAAGATGCTCCCTCTAAACCCCAGGTATCCTGGTCCATCCACAGCAACGATAACCTTACCAGGACTTCAGGTTCCTAGGACTTAGGTAATTTTATTAGTGCTCTATTTGGTTTTGGTTCTAAAGGCTCGTGTTCTTCAGGGATGCCCCCCATTAACTCACTCTGAGCAGGTAACCACTTAGAAAACTGTTTGTGGCCCCTTTTCAATAGACAATTCAACTCTAATGGCTGCTACATAGTCAGAGGAGCCCTTGACTGACCTGAGTCCTGGTGGACCAGTTACTGCTGCCCAGAGCCACCAACTTTGGCATTCTGAAGTCTGCTATGTATACTGCATACCCACTGTGAGCCAGTTGCCTTCCTAGAAGGTCACAGAGGAAGTGGCATCAGTTCAATCTGAGGCACTTTGAATTACCTGGAAGATAGACCCATGAGTAGACACCCCAAAACGTGAGAACAGCATTTATTTCCAGGTTTTACAGCTAGGTGCTGAGACAAAATACCACCAAATCAGCTGCTGACTAACCAAGCATTCTTCCTCCAGCGGCCACAAGTCAGTAGTGAAGGCTCTGATGTGACTGTCCCCTGAAGGCAGTGGGGAGGACTTGACCTCACGCCTCTCTCTTCGTGTCTGATGCTCTTGCTTTGCAGCTGACTCCAGTCCCACCTCCATATTAGTACAATCATCTTTTCCGTGTTCTCCTCCTTCCTAGTGCATTAGAACTCACTGCATTCCATCCCCTAAGACCCTGTCTCCAGATGAGGTCACATTCACAGGGAGAGGAATTTAGGACTTAAAAGTATTAGGGGTGTATAATTTAATCCATGATGCAGTATTATGTGTAGAAATAAGAGCAGCGGGGCTGCGTCCCCAACACCCCAGCTGCCTGCTAGCTTATGCCCAAAATAACAACACACAAACTGTATTCATTTAAACACTTCTTGGCCCTTTAGCTCTAGCCCTTACTGGCTAATTCTGATATCCTGATCAACCCATCTCTAATAATCTGTGAGAACCGGTCTTACCGGGAAGATTCTAGCCTAGTCCATCCTGGGTCGGAGCTTCATGGCATGTGTCTGCCCAGGAGCGGGGCATGGCGTCTCTCCGAGGCATCTGCTCCCGAGAGGAAAGCTGTGGAGTCTAAGCTCACTTCCTCTTCCTCCCAGTGTTCTGTTCTGTTTACTCCTCCCACCTATCTTCTAACCAATAAAATGGGCCAAGGCAGTTCCTTTATTAGCCAATGACCTTCCTCCATCAATTATGCATATTCATCCCGTCAGCGGCCATGGGGGCATTGTGATACAGTGGAGGGGGAGTTGTTTTGGGGGGATTCATGGTAGCCCGAATACTGGGCTGCTTTTTGAAGGAGGTGGGGATACAGTTGTGGAGGGTGAGGTTGCCAGCTATTCCTGCAAAAGCAGAGTGAGAAAGTTCGGCTGCCATCAGAAATCTCTGCAGCGCGTGTACCCTGTGGTCTGTGCTTACCTCTCTGTCCTCCTGCGCAGGTGGAACAGCAGAACAATGGCATAGATGTGGACCACGATGCAGATCTGGCTTACAACAGTCTGAAGGTAAGGCTGTCTGTTCTCTGGCACAGCTGGGCTTCAGGACACTGGGTCCTCAGTGCCAGTCTGCTCACCAGGAGAGCCATAGGCAAGTGACAGCATTCCTCCACTTCCACACTCTCACCTTGAAAATGAAGGGGAGTGAAACACGTGTCTCCCCTACCTAAAACAGCCCAGTTAAAATAAAATGTGGCCACAGGAATAAAATCACTTTGAAAAATACCCAGATATAAGGCAGGGGGTTCCCTGTGTAGCAGGTGCTGAGTTGGCAGAAGAGGGCAAAGTAGAACAGCAGAGGCTTCAGACCCAAGGAAGAAGGAAGGGACATCAGACCAGGCCCTTCCTTCCCGAAGACTTCCTAATGAGGCGCTTTCAACAGTCTGCTGGTCACTAATAGAGCAACAATTTGCTAATAGCCATTGCCCAAAAAAAACCAACCCTTGAACCATGAACCGTTTCTGTGGCTTCCATTTCCCAACTATTTTTCACTGTGGTAAAGTATATATATTATGAAATTTATTATTTTAACAATTCTAAGTGTATATGAGGATTCATCCATAATGTACAAGCGGCTCACTGTTGTTCACCCTGTAATCTACTTATCTCGCCAAACCTTTCTCCACTGAAGAATTTCCGTCCTCCCTCCCCACAGCCCCAGTCAAACACTATTCTACTTCCTGTCTCTCCGCTCTATAGATGCCTCATACAGTGGGCTCGTGACATCTGTCTTCTTGTGGCAGTTTATTAATCAATGCCTTCAAGAGTCATTCAGTCACATATGTTGTCGTCCTGATTGAGGCACTCAGTTGCATTCCCTGGACTCACTTGGCTTTGTCCTCTTACTCAGATAACAGAGGTTCTGCCCAGTGGGATTTGGCTCAGTCATCTTGTGACTCAAACAAGCACATCACTTTTTAAAGTCTCTAGAAAGTCACAGAGCAAATGAACACACAAGGCTTTAGGAAGTCCTATTGATAGCATGTTATTTAGAACTGTAAGTTTGGGGCGCATAGCTTGGTGACAGAGAACTTGTCCTGGCTTTGATCCCCAACACTACATATGTATAAACATGCATATATATATACATACATACATACATACATACATACACACGCAGTCACAGCTATCAGTCCAGCATTACCACAAAAGAATTTCATGGCCAAATGTGCTTAAAACATATATTACATCCCCAGGGAATACTACAGAGTGTGTCAGGTGCAGTTATCTGAGAACTTGGGGTGATAGGTTTAGTCACTAAACTGACCACTGATGACATCAGAACTTGAGCCATGTATGTCTTCATTCAAAACAGTAAGTTGCTCTTTCGGTAGACAGGGAAAGTTAAGGCAAGAGAGGAGACGGGCTGGGAACGTGTTGTGGGTCCAGGAAACAGCAAGCTGTGCCTCTTGGCTGTCTTGCAGAGACAAGAGCTTGAGTCAGAGAATAAGAAACTGAAGAACGACCTGAATGAGCTGAGGAAAGCTGTTGCTGACCAAGCCATGCAGGACAACTCCACCCATAGCTCCCCGGACAGCTACAGCCTCCTGTTGAACCAGCTCAAGCTGGCCAATGAGGAGCTGGAGGTCCGCAAAGAGGAGGTGCTGATCCTCAGGACCCAGATCATGAACACTGACCAGCGCCGATTGGCTGGCAAGAACATGGTGAGGAGGTGGCGATGGCAGCCACGGGTGGGCTTCTTGGGGCGACACTGAGCCAGTCGGCTTGTGGGTTTGTATGTCTTTACTCTTGGGGCTCTTAAATCTGAAGAGCAAGATGTCTGTCTTCAGGGTCTCTGAAAGCAGATCAGGGGTCTGGCGCCATTTCTTCATGACCTTTATGATCAAGAGATGGGACTAGAAGTGTCTAGAATTTACTGAACTTAAGAAAGTGATCACGGAGGCTGGAGAGATGGTTTAGCAGTTAAGAGTGCTTCAGTGGCCTTGCAAAGGACCAGAGTTCAGTTCCTGGCACCCACAACTCACAACTGCCTATAAATCCAGCCCCACGGGTATCTGAGGCCCTCTTCTGGCCTCCATAGGCACTGCACTCATACGGCCAGACATGCGTGAATTTTTTTTTTTTTTTTGATTAAGAAAATGTTCAAAAGACACAGATAACCATAGTGGCTGTTTTTCATGTTTTTCATGACCCTTGTTGTTCATTTTGTCTCTGGGGGGATTTCTCCATCAACCCCTGCAGAGTTATGAGTCCCCTTCATGTGTGTTTCTGATATTCTCACCTTCAAGGGCAGGTTGTAGAGTGGGAGGGAGGGACCAGAGGTGAATAGCCTGGACCACTCTAGACATGGGCCCTAGGAATGACACTTGAATCATGTCCTTTGATGTAACCGCTTTCTCCTCATAGGATGCTGGTCAGCTGCCCCACTGTTTGCTCTCAGTGCCTCACAGCCAGGCCCTGCTAAGGCTGTATCCTTCCACCCTCTTGAAGTCCTGCCCCTGCCTGCATTGAACAGCAGCAGGCTATTTCTGCAGGCCTCCCTCTCTTCCCAAAAGCACATTTATACACCTCTGTATTAGAGACCCATTGCCTAGACGTCGTTAGCACAACCAGAGTTAGTTTCCATTTGTGTGTTTTCTAGGAGCCGAACATCAATGCCAGAACAAGCTGGCCCAACAGTGAAAAACACGTGGACCAGGAAGATGCCATTGAGGCCTATCATGGGGTCTGCCAGACAAACAGGTAGGACCCCCTCTGAGAGCTGGACCTGGAGAAAGTGAGAGACAGTCTGGCGACAGGAGGGGCCGTTGTCTAGCCTAGCATGTTCCAACCTATCCCTTAGGTACTGGCCATCTGCCCAACATCGGGGAATTATCTCTTGGAAAGAGAAGGCCCTTTGGGAACCTACCAATAGAAAACATTTGTTTAAAATTGCTAGAAGCAGTGGACTCTCCAGAAAGAGCAGTGAACCCTCCCAAAAGTGCAGTGAACCCTCCAGAAAGAGCAGTGAACCCTCCCGAAAGTGCAGTGAACCCTCCCGAAAGTGCAGTGAACCCTCCCGAAAGCACCAGAGGGCCATGCCATAAACACACCCTGAGTTTGCTTCCTCTGAAGACTGAAGTACTTAGGATTTCCAGATCTCCTGCTGCCATCCCTCTTCTGCAGATGAGGAGACTGGGGCCCAGAAGGATTGAGCAGTTTTAGGCATGCAGCTGGCCAGAGCAAAATCCAGGAGGCCTGGCTTCCAGGCTGCGTTGTCCCACCTCCACCCCGCGTGGGAAACCAGAAGCAGAGATGTAGCCAGCCCCCAATTCTCCCTAAAGAAGAAAGTGAAGGATTGAAGGTGACTCTCTGCGCTAAAGCCGGAGTCAAGATGCAGTCAACTTGAATTCTCTTGGGTGGAAGATAAGGAGTGAGATGAATGAGAAAAAGAGCGCGGGTAGTATTAAATTAGAAAGCAAGCTGGCAGCCGTGCTGGGCTTATCGCTCTGGTCTTCAGAACCGAAATTGCTCCCAGCCCTCTTTCTGTTCTTCCCTGCAGCTGTCAGGAGTCTAGTCCTCCGTCTAGGTCTTTCCAGGGGCTGTTTAGTGCCCCAGATTTTGTCTTCTTACCTCAATAACAATGGAGGTGATGAGAAAAAAAACAGTCTTTACTATATCCTGCAATCATCCTGTGCTCAGAAAGCTCAGCTAGCCCAGCAAGCAATAGTGAACTAATAGCTGAGAACCTGAGTTAAAAAAAGAGCAGCTGCCTAGAGGAGGAGAAGTCAGGACCTAGGTCCCCAGTAACTGCCCCGTTAGGCACCATAGAAGACTTGCCTTTCAGCTTTGTCCCAGCCTCCGCTTTGAGACAGTTTTGTGATTACTGCAAATCCAAGCATTACAGGGGAAAGCAGCTGATCTTACTGGCAAGGAAGGGGAGTTAGGCTGTGATTCTGGGGATCCCGGATAAGCACCCCCTTATGACAAGGGTGTTGTGAAGGTAGACATTTGCTATGCCTTTTCTGTGGTTGGCCTGTAATGGAGAGGTGTACATACATACAAATTGTGTCTTAAATGTGTGGTCGAGTGGAGTCCCTTTAGAATCTGATAAAATGTGTACCTAGCCTGTGTTCAGGCTAGAGTTCTGAGACGATTCCTGATATACTTCAGTTCCCATGTGCAGTCTCTCACATTCAGCACGCTTCCCACTTGCTGAGTTCTCATGGCCTGTCGAGATATGCAGAGAGGGTCTGCCTGTTCTGTCTCCTGCACTGTGAGCCTACGGACAAGGGTCTCCCCTGCACTGGGAGCCTGCGGGCAAGGGTCTCCCCTGCACTGGGAGCCTGCGGGCAAGGGTCTCCCCTGCACTGGGAGCCTGCGGGCAAGGGTCTTCCCTGCACTGGGAGCCGCAGGCAAGCATCTCTCTTGCACTGGGAGCCTAAAGGCAGGTGTCTCCCCTACACTATGACCCTGCAGGTAAGTAGTGCTGAGACCTGCTCTGGCCAGAACTCCCAGAGCGTGAAACACTCCCTCTTCTTCTTCTGCAAGCTCATGCTGCCATCTTGGGAGCTAGGAGCAGCCAGCATTGTTCTGATTGCTTTACTTACAGAAAAGCTAAGGAAAAGAAACAGCCACAGAAGCCAAGCTTAGAGATGGAAGTCTTTCATCCTCTCCCAGCTGGTTCTGGGAGACTGATGGCGCTGTGGACTGTGAGAGAAGCTGCTGCCACCCCCAGGCCAGCCTCCCCAAGTCAGGCCATCCCGGTCACAGAGCTGGCTTAGAACTTGGGAACAGAGTGTGGCTGGACTCAGGTTAGGCCTGGCTTCAAGAACAGTACTTCTCTCCCCTGTACACTTCACCAAAGTCCTGCCAGGCTGTAGTTGTTGTTCAGGTCCACTGGAGGGGCCAGTTCTTAGAGAGACAAGTACACCTAGACAGAACCTAGTTCTGAAGGCAGCTGCTTCCCTCATGTGACCTCTTTCTCCCTCTGTGCCTGTGCTCCTGATCTGCTTCTCAGAGGCCCCAGCAAAAATCCTGGGCTGCTGGGAAAAGTACGAACTAAAGTAAGTGCCCAGAAAGCACGTAGGGATCCTCCTGCACACAAGTGGCCGACCAGCCTCAACATACCTGCATATATGACAGAGTATGATTGCTTGGTCTGTTCTCCAAGGTCTGCAGGGGGAAGTGCATCCCCTCTGAAGCCATTTCTGGGGCATGACCTCTACAGCGAGCAGAAAATACTTCCGAGGTCATCCAGCTTACTGTGTTAGCCTAACACATGGACGATCAGGCCAGAGAATGCAGAAAAGTGTCCCTGGTGGGGCTCCTGGCTCCACACTGAACCGCAGACCTTGCTGTTTATTCCTTTGAAGTTAGCCACTTCAGGAGCAGCTCCTGGTAGGAGGGCCTATGCACAGGCGCTCCCTAAGTATTTGTTGATTTCCTGAAGCTGAGCTGTTTGGATTTTCCTCTTCACACCAGCAGATGTCACTCCCTCCCCAGCCACACTCCCAAGCACAGACAGGAAGGGGTCTGAGACTCTGGTACTTTGGGTCTCTTTGACCTAAGAGCAAAAGTCTCTACTGAGTCCTGAGTCGGTTCACCAGTTTTTAATTTACGCATGTGACTGTTTTCTTGTCGCGAAGCCAAGTATTTGGGCGGTCCATCATTGCCTTTTACCATTCTCCACGATAACAGGCATGTGACAGAAGCCAGCACCCTTTCCCTGTGAAGTTAGGAACAGGGGGACGGATGCTAACTTCCTGGAAGTATGTCTGGGCCTCTGTCTCACATGCACCACTTGGGAAAGTAGGAGAACTCCAGAAGGGAGGCAGAGTTCTCAGAGACCAGCAGTCCCTCTCAGGCTCTAAAGCAAGGCTGGGGGAGCTTTTAAAGAAGACTGGGAGACCCCCAGAGGTCCAGCCAGGTGCCAACACCTCTCTACTTGCAGCGGAGGGGATGGCCAGAGAACAGCATGCTGGCCTCCATCCCTCCTCAGCCCTCATGTACACTGGGCATTTCCAAGAACTCCTGCAGCCCCAGAGCCTCCTTTGGAGTAAAGCATTGCTACAAAGGACCCTAGGTCGATGCAAGCCTTACCATCTGAGAACAGTAGGTGCAGATATCAGCCCCTACTCAGCACAGCCTTAGGTCCTCAGGGATGTTCTGGGACGTGTGAATTGCCCAGGACACCTAACTGCTGGGCACAGAAAGAGGAAGCAGAATCTGGCTGTCTTAGTTACCTTTCCATTGCTGTGATTAGGCACCATGACCAAGGTCATTAATAGAAAAAGTAATTTGGGTCTTAGAGTTTCAGAGAGTTAGGGTCCATGACCATCATGGCGAGGAACATGGCAGCATGGTGCTGGAGCAGTAGCTTAGGGCCTGTGCCTTGATCTTGCAGCACAAAGCCGAGAAAGAAAAATGCTGAGAATGGCAAAGCCCTCTGAAACCTCAAAGCCCACCCTTGCTAACACACCTCCTCCAATCAGGTCCTCCCCCCTAATCCTTCCCTAACAATCCCACCAACTGGGGACCAAGTGCTCAAACATATACGCCACTGGGGGCCATTCTCATCCAAAGCACCACATTGGTGAAGTTCCAGGCATTTACAAGGTGGAAGGCTTAGATCCTCAAAATAAACTTGTTGGCATTAATCCTCCTCACTGCCCTGCCACAGAGATGGGAGCTTCTAACACTAAGGGGTTGGCCCTAGACTGGGAATAAACGCCATGGAAAGGCCACAGAAGTGGATTTTCAGAGGCGGGTTGGTACAGATGTGGGTACCCCAGCCCAAAAGACAGACTGTGTAAGCACTACAGGTCTGGGTTCCTCCTGCTAGCAGCTAGCTCTGGAAGGATCTGGAATGGATACTTTCAGCCCTTAGGCTTTACTCAAAACTTGACAAAGTAAGACAGCAGCTGACTTGACCAGGACTGTTTGGTTTGACATCTGGATTTTGGGATGGGGTGAATAGTTTCTCTGTTAGTCTGTATGGACTAATTCCCCCACCCCCCATGATTCATGCCCTCTACCAGCTAGCCCACTGACCTTTAAAGACACGCTTTGCCAAGGAATTTGTGGGGTGAGATAAGAAGAGAACTTGGCACAGTGACCTCCAAGAAGCACCTTGGCCAATATTAGGCAGATGATACGACCGAAAGAAGATACCAGGGACCTGATTTCACGGGTTGACTGGACAGGGAAATGGCTGTAACTTAAGTCAAGGGAAGACATAGTTTGGTTCTCAGCCTGTAAGTTTGTTGTTGTTAACTTTAATACACTTATACACCACACACACACACACACACACACACACACACACACACACACACTTAGCTGTAAGGATAGCTGGAGTTGAGGTTAGTTATCAATTACTTGCTCTTAGAGAATGGCAGAAAGCTGTGCATTGAAAGCAAAACGTGCAATTTCCTTCCTTACCCTGGTGGAGGCCAGCATCCCCCAGGTGCCTCACTGTAGTACAGCATACTCCATACAGTGAGGACCTACTCAGCCCCTGTGCCTTCTCCAGATCCTGTTTAGACTTGTCTCCTTGTTCTTTCTACTCCTTCAAATGGAAGGAAGCATGGCGGGTGTGAGACATGGAAGTGCCGTGGTCCAGCCTGTGCTACTGTGTGGCTGCTGTTTGTAGAGTCACTGCAACAGCTCCTTGCTGTCTTTAGCAACATGCACCTGACCTGCAGCTGTTGGTGGATTTCTTCGAGACCACGTGAACCTCTTCCCCAGACAGTACCTGAAACCTGGGAAGCTTGAGGAGGATGCTATCTGCAAGCACCTAGAGCGTGGGAGCCAGAGAGAAGTGCAGGAAAGAGCCTGCAGTCTGTACCCTTTTCTTGACTCCAAGCCTTGCCTGTCAGCTTTCCAGTCTGTCTCAATGCCTCTCTCTTCTCCACTGGACACCCTGTCTTTCTGTACTTTATTTCTAGCCAGACTGAGGATTGGGGATATTTGAATGAAGATGGAGAACTCGGCTTGGCTTACCAAGGCCTAAAGCAAGTTGCCAGGTCAAACATGTTCCCGTCTTGTATGTGCTTCATCTATGTGCCTGCTCTTGTCTATGTTCCTTGTTTTGGCTTGAGCAACTGTGAGAGTATGGGGCACAGTTCACATGGCTTCCAGCCAGCAGACCTTGGGGCATCCATTCATCATTTTGTGTCTAGGCAGTGTTGATGACATTAGCAGAAACTGCTTGCCTGGGCCAAGATGATGGCACTAGATGGCCCAGTTGAACCTTAGGAACCACGTGGCCCAACTCTTCATTCTATAGGTGGAGAGAAGAGAAATTACACAGCTGTTGAGGAAAAGCTGCAAAGGAAACTTAGCTGTGGGACTCCAGCTCCCACGGTACTGACATGCTACATGCCAACCTTCTTAACCCTTCAGGGTGAGCCAAAGACCTAGATTGCATGCTGGCTGTCCTGCAAGTACAAGGCTCCTTAGCACATGCTATGAGCATGTTGCTGGTCCCAGTCCTAAAAGCTGGTGCTGCCGGTATATTCTGCTGTCTGACCCTCACCGCATCCTTGCAAGCACAGTTTAGCAGGCTTAGCTGGTTAAATTCTGGTTAAGTAGACAATTGAACATTTGATATCATCAGCAAAACTGACCGCAACCTTCTTCAGCAGTGGGTGAACAGTTTAGCCAGGGACATGCGCAGAGTGAGGTCAGCACCTAGACCTGTCATATTTGCTGTGACTTTTAGAGAACAGAAGCATAACCTTGGTCATTTGTTTCCCACAAGAAATTGGGTGGTGGTCATCAGGGAGTGTTTCTTGCTCAGAGAGGTGGATGTGTGCTAGGCCTGGCTCCCTCTGTGACTCGGTGCTGCCCACACCTCAGTCTAACCTGCCATGTGGCCTCTCCATGCTGCTGCTGCTGCTGCTGCTGCTGCTGCTGCTGCTGCTGCTGCTGCTGCTGCTGGTAAGATAATGGGGATTCCTAACGGCAGTGAGGGAGCAGCACATCTAGTGCTACAGCCTATCAGTCCATAACCTGCGTGGGCGATGTGATCAGGCTCCTTATTGTCAGCTGGTGGATCAGAGCCTGCCCTGCATCACAGGGCCACTGCACATCAGGGCCATCACCTCAGGTAAAGCTTTACACATCCAGAAAGTCCAGAAGCATTAGCTGCTGCCTGGTTCTACTGTGTTTCTACTGTGGTTGGTATTCGACAAGGTCAGGGTCCTACCAGTCAGAGTTTGCTTTGTTCGAGTAGGAACCGATGTGTGCCTTCCTAGGCCCCTCCTCATGTCTGTCACAAGATTGGATGTGGTACAAAGAAAAATCAAGTGAATGCGTTAGAAATTAACACACAGGTCCATGCTTCAGGAGACCTTTTGGATGCTGGGATAGGAATCTTACTCCTGGCGTAGAGTCCTAAGCTGAATCCACTTGAGATGAGGCAGATGCAAGCAGGGTTCCACAGCATGTCAGAAAGGGGTCCTGGGACAGCTCCCTAGAACCAAAAGATCCACGACCTCTTTCCTGTTAACTTTATATCTTACGCTGATGAGGTTTGAGTATGTTGTAGCCAATGCTGAATGTTGTCTGAATACTCTGTGCTATCTAAATGCTGGCTTCATTACCAGAGTTATCTCCTCCCGCCTCGTGTTACTGTTGTTTCCCATTCGTCATAGACCCGTGGTGGTAGGCAAATCCCTTCATCATTTTCTTTCCTTTGCATCACTTTGCTGAGGAGCCCTTGTACATGCCAGGCTGTGGAGCTGACTTGGCTGCCTAGAATGTGGAAGCCAACAAAGCCGACTTCTGCTTCCTCTCTGGCTCCCCCTTCTCTATGGTAGAAGAGACCAGTACAGCAGCAAACGCATGGCAGCTGCCTACTCCTTGCCATCTGGATATCAGGAGATGTCCCCAGGGACCATCCTGAGCAGAATCTCTACTACATCCCAGGAAAAAACTGGTGTGACCGGGTCCTTCAGAACCCCACCGACCATGTCCCTTTATGCAGAAGATGACTAACTAGAAAGCTAGAACAGGTAACTGAGGTCACAGGAGACGCCCCTGTTGCATCTGGCCATGTCAGGGTCAGATCCAAGCTGAGGCTGCTGCTGAACCACAGACTCCTTCCCTATTAACACAGGCAGGTGCTCTCTGTGGGTGCCTGGTGCTGTAGCTATGAGCCCCTTAGAACTCTCAGAGCCTCTTCTGGATCTTTGTCTCTTATGACTCGTTCCCCCCAAATAGTCTTAGCTGTTTAGAGCAGAGGAAAAGTTGTAAAAGATTACCTATAAGATAAAGTTGGGCAATAAATGTGGAAATGAAAGACAAAACATTAGCTCTTCTCCTTCTAAAAAATGAGAGGACTCTACTGAAGGGAAAATTAATATAATTAGCTCTGTTTATCAGCATTTTGTCTTTATAAGGAAGTTTTTACAAACTTTGGAGCAGACGACGACAATGCTATTTAAAGGACACTATGAGACATTTATCTGTGTTAACATCATATTGTCGTGGAGACAATCTCTCAATCCTAAATTAGTAGTCTGTGTCCATAAGAAAAATAAATGAGGGTGGCAAAAGAAGTCTAAACCCACGGGTGCCTTTGGCCTTGGTTTCTGGTCATCTAAGAGGATGGCAAGTCGACATGCTTGCCCAGTGATACCTACCTTCCCGCTGTGCTCATCCCTGTTGGGGGTCACATGATTGCTCCCGCTATGTGCTTGGCTGCTCCCCTGTTGTGTTTGTCTGTGGCCCCTCACTATGGGTGCCCACCCCAGCCACACAGTGACCTGGCCTGCTCTCCTGGGTGCAGGTTGCTGGAGGCACAGCTGCAGGCCCAGAGCCTGGAGCACGAGGAGGAAGTGGAACGTCTCAAGACCCAGGTGGAGACCCTGAAGGAGGAGATGGACAAGCAGCAGCAGACCTTTTGCCAGACCCTGCTGCTCTCACCAGAGGCCCAGGTGGAATTTGGCGTCCAGCAGGAGATATCTCGGCTCACCAATGAGAACCTGGTAAGTGGCCGTGTCTCGTGGATTATAGTTCTTGGGATCATTTCTCTCTAATTAGACTTGTCTGCTAAGCCCACAGCACTGGTATTAATCTTGTAACAGACTCTCTTCTTCAGGTCTACCTTGAAGCCTTCTCCATCCTCTGGCTCCCACAGGCGCCGGCACTCCTATTCACTTACATACACACACACACACACACACACACACACACACACACAAATAAATCCTAAAAAATAAAATACTGTCCAAGCCTTGGACTCCAAGACAAAGGTTCTCTCTTGGCTTGGTGGTGGAGCACTTTTCTAGCTCACACTTACCTAGCCTTGGGTTCTATACCCTGTAACACACACAGGGGTGGAATGTGAGACTACACACCAAAGATGTTCCAGAGGTCCCAGGATGAACTGCTAGCTTCTCCCTTTCCATCACTCTGGTTACTTAGACTTGGCTCTAATGGTCAAAGCAGGGCTCCTTTCCTCTTTCCCTTCCCTCCCTTAAAGAGCCACCGCCCAGCTGGATGAGGATAATAATGACTGCAAAGTCCTTCCTTGGACAGCTTGCTGTTCTAGGTCCCAATGGACTGCCTTGCTTCCAGTGGCAACAGTTGCTAGGGACTGGGGCCACAGCCCTGTCCTGTTTGGCTTCTGATCCCAGAAGCCTGTTTGACCCTGATCATTCCAGCTATCTGCCTTCCTTACTACACCTCCACAGCAAGTGCTGCCCGCCACCCCCTCGACACCTAGGCCAGGTGTCCTCCAAGGACGCTTGACTTAGGGAGAAGGTGCCAGAGTGCCCCAGGGGGAGGAATTCGCCCTGGGAGGAGTTCACGCTGTTGTTGCTGGCAGAATGAACTCTGACTCATTGCTCCTCCGGGGCTCTGAGCAGGTGCTGAGCCTGTGTGAGGTGGCCCTTCTGACCCTACTGGAGTGGGACTCCTTAGCCTCACTGGGCCCTGTGGTCCTGGCAAGGACTTTCCCATTCCTTCAGTGTGAGGCCAACCTTCTGCTCTTACACGGCTTCATTATGCTTTCAGGATTTTAAAGAATTGATAGAAAAACTGGAAAAGAATGAGAGGAAGCTGAAAAAGCAGCTGAAGATTTACATGAAGAAGGTCCAGGACTTAGAAGGTAGCGTGCCTGAGTGTGCATGAGTATGTCCCTGAGTGTGTGCCTGAGGCAGAGGTGACTCTGCCAGTCTGTGGGACTTCAGCCCACTGTCCCCTTCATCAGGTGGCTGTGCCTGCTCCAGCCCTGTCACGGGAGCTCACATCTCAGCAGGTAGAGACACCTGCTTGAGCAGGTGTGAGCCAGGTTCGGCAGGCTGGAGGTGTGAGCCACACGGGTTCATAGTGGTACCTGCCTTTGGCGGGCATAGAGTCAGAGGCGAGACTTTCTGGTGTGAAAGAACACTATGCCATGGGACGTCACAGCTAAACTTTCAATGTGGAGTCTAGCCCAGAGGGAGGGGCAGACAGAAGGTCTAAATCACTCTCCCAAAGCCCTGGGCATGTTCTTTCCTATAACTGCTGTACCCTCTCAGCAGGTGCTATCCTGCTTGGAGCCCTCAGGGCTCCTTGTGTCACAGATAACCCTCTTCATCTTTCCACCCTCAGCTCAAGAGCCACCACCCTAGCCTTGGAACCCTGCCCTGTGCTAGCCTGAGGCCACAGCCTCCTGGGCATATCACTGATCACAGAGTGCACAGCCACTACTTCTGTAGTGTCAGGGACATCTCTGCCCACACCAGGCACCTTGTGACCTTTTTTCAGTTGGTGGTCTGCACGTGCCCCTGTGAGTCCTCCATTATCTATGGGGCTTTTCTCTTCTGATCTCAGGCAGTCATTCTCCAAGTCTCTTGGCTTCCAACCTCTCCATTCTGCTCTGTTCAGCCTACCTCCCCCTCTTCCCCCCTTCTCCATGCTTTAGTCTATGCTCTTACTCCCCTGTGACCAAGCTTTACCCTCTGTTCCCAGGTGACTCGGTAGTTTCCCAGGGCCACTGCTGAGAGTACTATCTGCCCTCTTCCCTCCCCATAGCTAGCAGAGTGAAATCCCAGCTCTTACCTGGTTCTCCTCTGTATGCATACATATGTGTGGGCCCGTACACAGAGCATCCCTCCAGCCAGTTACAGATGCTTACCATGGATGATCGATCTCTTGCCTAGTTCTCTTCCCATTCAACTAGAGCAGTGGTTCTCAACCTGTGGGTCACGAACGCTTTGGGAGTCAAGGGGTCACCTAAGACCATCAGAAAACATAGATATTTACATTACAATTCATAACAGTAGCAAAGGTATAGTTATGAAGTAGCCATGAATATATTTTTATGGTTGGGGGCCACTCCAACGAGATGAACTCTATGACGGGGTCACAACATTAGGAAGGTTGAGAACCACTGCTCTAGGGGATGTTTTGATGGACCAGCCCTCTTCTTGCCTACTTTCTTCCCTCCTGCCTGGCTCTCTCAGTGTTCCGCCCCCACCAGCACCTCTGGTGAACGTTCCTGGCCTAGCACCTGGCCAACCTGTATTGTCAAGTGTTTTTCCATGCAAACACACAGAAGCATCCCCTAGATAGACTGGTGAGGGCAAAATGGGGACTTCACATGTGCCCTGAGGTGATGACAATACTCTCACACTGTTGCTACCCAGGTATACAATGAATAAGTATTAGGAGGCTACTATCTTCCTCTGGGCTAGGGGAAATGTCTGAATGGAACTGAACAAGTCCTTGTTATCCCCGTGGGTACCCCTAGATACCCATTAATTGTGCTTACATGGGCTCACACTACATTTAGATATGAGGTACCCCACTGATACCACCTGCTCCCGATGGCCAGTGCTGTGGTACCACAGGGAACTGAGTAGAACGGGCCTGGCTGACTCTCCTCCCAGACTCAGGGACCTTCCTTACAGCTTGGTAGGAGGAGAGAAACCCATGCCAGCAGGGCACGCTGAACATGGCTGCTACCACTTCTCCTATTTTCTCTGGTACAAAACCTACTCATTTCTCTTTCAGGGATTCTCCTCCCCTTGCCCACAGCAGACTCCAGCGAAAGTGCTGAAGTCCTTGACCCACAGAGAGCGAGGGTCCGGGCTGCAGGGACAGGCTACATTGAGTACCCTGAGCATGGTCCCCAGGCCGGGACGCCCCTTCTGCAGGCCTTCACCTGCACATTCTCACCACGTTTCTATCGTCTCGTTCCCATCAGCTGCCCAGGCACTGGCACAGAGTGACAGGAGGCACCATGAACTCACAAGACAGGTCACGGTCCAGCGAAAGGAGAAAGACTTCCAAGGCATGCTGGAGTACCACAAAGAGGACGAGGCTCTCCTCATCCGGAACCTGGTGACAGGTCAGGATCTGCACCGCTGTGCCCCCTGCCAACCCTGTATAGCCTCGCACCAGCACAGGGAACAGAGACCTCTGTTCTGCCAGCGGCCACATGGCTCCTGCCCACCCGTGCTTTTCTGTGGTGGCTGCTGCAGCCCTTCTTTCTCTGGGGAAGTTCAGGGTGGGCCATGGTGCTTTGGCAATAGCAGGACATTAGTGCAGGCTTGTCAGCGACTGTGCCAAATGCCATACCCACCTCGATTGTTTAATTCTCTCACCGTCTATGTCAGTAGGCACTGTACAAATCCTGACTTCATCTTGGAGAATGCGGAGATCTTTCTATTAACTTTCTTAGGTCACACAGGGCGTAGACAGTGGATCAGGGAGTCAAATGCCTCTGTTTGCAGGGTTTTAGTGCTGTTTAACCCGGCACATGTGAGTGTGGCCTCTGGAATCAGACAACCTATGTGCAAGTTTGCCCCTTTCCTCACTAGCCATGCAGTCGAGGACCAGTGTCCTCAAGTGTGGCATGAGAAGGTGGTAAGACCTGTAAAACCGGGCTGGAGAGATAGCTTAGCAGTGAAGAGCTCTGGCTACTCTTCAGAGGACCCGGGTCTAATTCCCAGCACCCACATGGCAGCTCCCAACTGTCTGTAACTCCTATTCCAGGGGATTGGACACCCTCCCACTGACACTGAGAAGCAGGGTGAGTGAGAGAAGCTCGGTGTGTGGCCCAGAAGCTCTAGCAAAGGCAGAGTCCCCTCAGCTTGGTCCTCAGGACTAGAATACCTGCTACCCATTTTCAAGCCCCCACAGCTCAGGAAAGGGATATATTTTCCCTGTTAAGTTAGAGGAGAGCCTCCTGTCCATGGGGTCACTCTTCAAGGATGCTCAGTTAGGGGTTCTGAGTCATGTTTGCAAGTTGTTGATGTCTGTGTCGAGATGGTTCTCTGTGACCAGTATTAGATGCCACCTTTAGGGACGGAATACAGTACTCTTGGGAGCCAGTTTGCTCACCAACCCTGGGCCCCTTCCTCTCTTGTCTCAGCCTCGTCTGCCTTCAACAAGTCTCTACTTCATGCTCCATCCAGCCCAGGCCAGGAGCTTCCTACAGAGCCGGGGGAAAATCATAGAGAAAAGAATCTGTCAAACAGATGGGGACTGACCCTGCCCATTCCAGCACGTGAAATAGAGTCAGAGAGAAAACTGGGTTCAGTGCAGGACTTTCACTAAGGAGTCAGAGCTCGAGGTAAACATTACCCAGAGAAAATCACCCAGAGCAGTGAGGTCTCTGCTAAGTACAGCACTCAGGCCAAGAGCCCAGGAGAAATAGACCGTGAGTTCTGCATGGTTGCCCTTTGGTTGTTTGATTTGGACATTTTTAGTAGCTTGCTGATGACTGTCATGCTCCTTATAAAGGTGACTCCGTGGTGAATATGAAACACAAAGTTTACAACATCAGAGTTAACTGATTAAGTAAATAAAACGCTAAATTTTATAACTTAAGTAAGCATGAGTCAAGGGTCCCTTCCTGCTCTTATTGCTTAGATGGCTCTAGGTGATCACCTCCTACCTAGATACCAAGGAAGAGTGCCCATCATCTGCCTTTCAGTGACCCCATATACATCGATGAACCACCTCTTAGGGACCCATCACTGGCTAGTTGCTTCAGAGAGGAGAAGAAAGCAAAGTTGTAATCCCCATCCTCTGAGAAGCTCACCTCTGTCTAAGAAACAGAAGTGAGCCTGTTCTGCCACAATAGAACATTCCAAGACAAGGCGAGCTGCTTAAAACCTGCACATAGGGGAAGCCTGAAGTTAGATGTTGGAGATTGGAAATGGGCCTGTGAAATGCACTTTTTCCTGGATGAATACTGTTGATGTGCTAATTAGAGCCAAGATCTATAGCCTAGAACCTAGATCATGCCAGAATGTTAAGTATCCAGAGTGTTATGGCCTGTAATTAACACTAACTAGAAGGACATATTTGAGAGCATGAGGTAACCTGTTTATCAATTAAAGATACTTGCCGCCCAGCCCTACCTCAGCCCCCATTAGCCTTGGCAGACGACTTAAGGCCCCGGGTAGAGGGTAGGAAACCTCCCATTTGTGAGTTCCAAGTCCAGAAGCTTTGGGGGGCTTGGTTTGGGCAGGGTAATGAGACTGAAGACTGAGAGCTAGGGTACAGACAGAGCCTCAGTGAGGTGCTGGGGCCCTTTCTCGCCCTTCATCTTAACCTGGCACCAGACCTTTTCCCCACTGCTCTGGTTTCTAGCCATTACTCATTGCTTTAAACATGGCTCCTTAGCTTCCCAGGACACTAGAGCTCATCCAACAGCTTCCCAGGGGCGTTAGGAGAGAGGGGAAAGCAGCTGGAGTGTCAGCATGAAGTTCACAAAGAGTCCCAGTCCAAGGCAGGGAAAGGGGCAGAAGAGAGAGCTGGACAAAGTGACGTGTTGAGCAGAGTGGCACTGGCTGCTGGACCAGTTCAACTGTGAGACCTCAGGGCAGGTGCTGCCACTCTGACAGCCCCAGTGGTCCAGCCTGACTTCTGTTGCTTTAGTAAACACCATGCCCATTCTAATCCACTCCATCACGAAGAGAAGTGAAGGCAGAAACCGGGAAACAGGAGCTGACACAGAAGCCACGGAGGCTGCTGCTTACTTACTTACTGGCTCGCTTCCCGGGCTTACTCAGCCTGCTTTCTTATACCATCCAGGAACACCTGCCCGAGGGTGGCACCACCCCCCCGGTGTGATGGAACCTCCCACATCCGTCATTAATCAAGAAAATGCCCTACGGGCTCAGCTACAGGCCACTTTGATGGAGGCATTTTCTCAACTGAGGTTCTTTCTTTTCACATACAAGGTGACAAAAAACCAAACAGCACTGACATGCACCAGAGGCTGCTCCAGTCCACTCAGCCCTTGGCCTATTGGCCATCACTGGGAACATGGTTTTCTGTAAGACATGATATTGCTAAATTCTCCTGATACTAATCTTCAATATCAAAGAATCCACTGTGCCTAATCAGAAGCTTGGGTTATCCAAGAAATGGAGTTATCACCCCATTGTATGAGTCAGCTTATAGCCTGCCTCTAACTGTAAGTCCCTTCCTGAGGACAATGGCATGAATCCATGCCTCGTGGCCCTTTCCTCCAGTGACTGACAAGTCATTTACTGCTGTAGTACAAGCACCTAGGAATGTAATATGGTTTTTGCTTTGTTTTGTGGCAGGGCTTCTCTTTGTAGCCCTGGCTGACCTGAAACTCTCTATGTAGATCACCTGCCTCTGCCTCCTGAGTGCTAGGACGAAAGGTGTGCACCACTACATCTGGCCAGGCATACTTTTGCTTTCTGACCAGTGTCCTTGTCAGCATGTACAACAGTGTGTGTGTCAGTGTGTGCATCAGTGTCTATGTGAGTGTGTACGTCAGTGTGTACGTCAGTGTGTGCATCAGTGTCTATGTGAGTGTGTACGTCAGTGTGTGCATCAGTGTGTGCATCATCAGTGTGTACATCAGTGTGTGCGTCAGTGTGTACATCAGTGTGTACGTTAGTGTGTACATCAGTGTGTGCATCAGTGTCTATGTGAGTGTGTACGTCAGTGTGTGCATCAGTGTGTGCATCAGTGTCTATGTGAGTGTGTACGTCAGTGTGTACATCAGTGTGTACGTCAGTGTGTACGTCAGTGTGTGCATCAGTGTGTGCGTCAGTGTGTACATCAGTGTGTACGTTAGTGTGTACATCAGTGTGTGCATCAGTGTCTATGTGAGTGTGTATGTCAGTGTATGCATCAGTGTGTGCATCAGTGTCTATGTGAGTGTGTACGTCAGTGTGTGCATCAGTGTCTATGTGAGTGTGTACGTCAGTGTGTACGTCAGTGTGTGCATCAGTGTGTGCGTCAGTGTGTACATCAGTGTGTACGTCAGTGTGTGCATCAGTGTGTGCGTCAGTGTGTACGTCAGTGTGTACGTCAGTGTGTACATCAGTGTGTACGTCAGTGTGTATGTCAGTGTGTACATCAGTTTACCTTGTTGCTCTCATAAGATACTGTAACCCAAAGCAACTCAGAAAAGAGTTTATTTGGCTTACAGTTCCAGAGGGATAGAGGCTATAAAGGCAAGGAAGGCATAGCAGGTGCCCCAACAGGAAACTGGCTGATCACATTGTAGCTACACACAGGAAGCAGGAAATAGGGTAAGTCTATAAGCTCTAAAAGATGCATCTCCTCCAACAAGGCTCCACCTCCTAAAGGTTCCATAACCTCCCCAAACAGCACTACCAGCTGGGGACTAAGTGATAAGACACGTGAGTCCACAGGGGTTTCAAGCTACCACAGTTTATCTTATTCTTCTTTCGATCCCTATGAGAAGGAGCTTCCTAGGGGAGTTTACAGGGAAATAATGCAAACATTTCTCTTTGCGACGAGGCTTCTGGCATTCAGGGTGTTCTCCCCAATAGATCTAACTCACATGTTATTGTCATTAGATCTGAAGCCCCATATGCTGTCAGGCACCGTGCCCTGTCTGCCTGCATATATCCTCTACATGTGTGTCAGGCATGCGGATTACACCAATGATGACCTCAAGGTACACTCGCTGCTAAGCTCCACCATCAATGGCATTAAGAAAGTCCTCAAGGTAAGGAAGAAGCCTGTGCAAACAGCTGCAGTTCCCAGTAGCCTGAACAAAGCTAGTACCTCCATTGCTTCTCTGCATCTGTGTTCTGCCAGTGTACCAATTACATACCTAGCAGTTCTCAGAGCAGGCTCAAGACTGCCAATGCCAGGAAGCCCGGAACTCCAATGTGGGCCTCCAGCAACCTCCCTGCTGAACCTGTGTTTACATGAAAGCCCAGCTGCCTGCTAACATAGATGCTAAGGGGGTAGACTGTCTCTGAACCAAGTTCAGGAAGCCATACTCTCTCTCACCTTTCCAAGGGAATGGGACATGCTATCAAGTTGGTGGTGTTGACTGAGGTTTCTTTGCTGCCTCATTCCCACAGTCGTTAAGTCCCAAAGAAACCACACAGAGGTCTACATTAATTATAAACTGATTGGCCTAGTATCTCAGGCTTCTTATTAACTCATATTAGCCCATAATTCTTGTCTGTGTTAGCCAGGTGGCTTGGTACCTATTTCAGCGAGACAGTCACATCTTGCTTCCTCTGTGTCTGGCTTCCTCTGTGTCTGGGTGATGACTGCAGACTGAAACTTCCCTCTTCCCAGAATTCTTGTTGCCCTGCCTATACTTCCTGCCTGGCTACTGGCCAATCAGCATTTATTTAAAATACAAGTGACAGGATACAGACCATTGTCCCACAGCATGGTGGCACAGAGAGAGCTGCTGCCATTCATCAGGGCTGCTCTGGGGAGTGAAGGTGGGCTGTTAAAATAGCTCAAGGATGCTACCCTAAGACACAAGATGAATATAGTAGCAGTTGTTTGGTGGTGAGGCATGTTCACAAAGGAGCTGGGGTCAGGTGGTAGGAAGGGAATTTTGGAGACAGAGACATCTCAGAAACAGTGACAGTCTTATGTCTTCTAACACTGATGATTCCAAGGAGGCAAGCCACCCTCAAGAGTACCATGGCCTCTTCTGGTCTCATGAGCCTGTGATCCATGACTGGAGACCAAGCTATCCTGCTTCTGGCTGCATGCCCTTGGCAGCTGTCCAGCTTCCCTGTCTCAGGCTCCTGTGAGCAGAGTTTTCTCATCCCAGGAGCTGCTTCCAATTTAGCACAGAGAGGCTACATTAATTATAAGTGATCTGCCAATAACTCAGGCTTATTACTAACTAGCTCTTACATTTTAAATTGGCCCATATTCCTTAATTATACTCTGCCACATGTTGGTACCTTTATTAGCATGGCACGTTCATCTCCTGCTCCCTCTGCGCCTGGCTGATGACTTCTCACACCACCCTTCTCCTTCCCAGAATTCTCAATTTAGCTTTCCCACCTAACTTTATTCTGTTCAGCTATTGGTCAGTCGGCTTCTTTATTAAACCAATGACAGTGATAAATCGTCACAGTGTACAAAAGGATTATCCCACAGCAAGCTCCATACACAGTTATCTACTAATTTCCCTGGAGTGTATCGTGTGTCTGCTGGTCACTCTCAAGTATGTGTCTCTGGCCTTGACCTCTCTAGTAAGCTCCAGCTGGAGTCTAAGGCAGCCAAGGACTACAAACACCACTTCCTTAGAGAGGCCTTCTATTAGCCTGCTCTGGCCCGTAGCCTGTATGGTCAGCCTTATTGTTTTATTGTCATAGCTCATAATCAGTGCATTTAAATAGTGGTGTTGTGTTTCAGGACAGACTCTAAGAAGTCAGTGGATATAATGCAGGAACTGGATAGGTCAAGTTGTATATGGGTTGCTAAGCAGCCTTGGTCCGTTAGTTCATGGCCACTGAGCATCTGACTTTTAGATCACTGGGATACTAGTGTACTTCACTGGCACGCCTTGTATGGGACAGCTGGTAGGTCAGAATCCGAGCTGGCCAGGGCAAAAGTCTCAGACCCGCCTAGAGCCTGGGGCTGCTGAGCCTAAGCTTCATTTGTACCACTCAGCCTCACACGCTTCAGCTCTGGGAGAAGCCTGTTCTTCCCGTGTGCTCAGGTGCATGCAACATTTATCAGGAGACCAGAGAGTAGTTCTATCTGTGTGCCATCTCAGGGAGTAGAGGAACAGCAACCCTCAGCAAAGGGTATCCACTCTGTGACTGGAAAGTGGACTGCATACATTGGGGCTGCCTGGGGAGGCTGGGTGGCACAGAAAACATGGAAAGAGAGGCACTGGGGATATATGCCAGCCGATGGGAGACACTTTGCTCAGAGCCAGTGGTGTGGTTTCTTTTCACAGAAGCACAATGATGACTTTGAGATGACATCCTTCTGGTTATCCAACACCTGCCGCTTCCTTCACTGTTTGAAGCAGTACAGTGGGGATGAGGTGAGTAGTGAGCCAAGAGCCCACAGTGGGCCCCACTTTATTGGCTTGTAGTTTGGGGTGCATTGGGGTACATTGGATTCCCTTAGATGATGGGTGTAAGGTCTGTAAAGCACCTGCTGGGACCTCAGATTGTGGGCATGTATTAGCAGTGCTGGGTTAGGACACAGGAGACTTTGGGCTTCAGTGGGCCCAAGAACCCCTGAAAAATCATCCCGTAAGCAAAAGAGAAGAATAGTTATAGAATTGGATTTACTTAACCACACAGTGCCAGAAAGCCCCTTCATTTCCTAAGGGACCCTTGCAACCTTTTATCTCTAAAGCTGTCCTAGAGAAGCCATGTCAGTGAAGGCTGGGAGCAAGGTCAGCGTCTGGTGTATCAGGATGTCTCTTAAGAATATAAGATGGGCACAAAAAAGAGGTGCCCCTGTATAGAACCTTATGGTACAAATGGATGTTGAGGCCATGCTTCATGCTTCCGGCTTAATTTGATTCACTGACCTGAGGCCCAGCTGATAGGTCACTGCGTGCTCTACTCTTGAGTCCGGCTCTCTCTAGAACTCACCATTCCCGTCGCTGGTGGGGTCACCCTCTGCCATGCAGTGCCTTCAGCTTCACGCCTCAGAGTTCACTTTCCAGTTTCCCCGGTGAGAATCCCACTGCATCCAGGCCTTCCACCTCCCACATCCCCACAGTCTCAACTCTCCCTTCACACATCCCACCCTGCCCGAAGTCAAGGTACAGCAAAAATTGAAACCATGCAACAACATTTTAAAGTTTTAGTATCTTTTGTGGCAGAACAAATAGAAACACTCTTCTCCCTAAGGTAATGGACCACTCTCCTGCCCCAGTCAGTCAATTTTGGGATGGGTTTGGTCCCATCTTTCTTCAAGAATTAGAACTTGAGTTTGGCCGCTTGCTTTTCCAAGGGAAAGGAAGGGAAACGTAAAGAAATGCCCTTTGTTTCCAACCAGATGCCTCCTGCTCTTTGCCCCCAGTATCATACACAAGCTCTTTATGTATGGAGCACTTCATTTCATCACGGTTCATCACTTCACACAGTGTCTTAGCTTCCTTCGTGATAAAATGCCCCAACAACAACAACCTAATTGAGAAAGGGTTTATTCGGCTCACGATTCCAGGGTACTGACTGCTATGAGAAATCACAGCAGCGGAAACTTGAAGCAGCTAGTCATGCTACCTCCACAACAGAGAAGAGAGGGCCTGGGATATACTCAGGCCAGTGCGTTTAGTCCAGGGTCCCACCGTTGAAATGATGCTAGCGATGGTGGGTCTTCTCACCTCAACCCAATTGAGAAAATCCCTCGTAGGCATGCTCCAGAGGCCCGCCTCCCAGCTGATTCTAGACTTTTGTCAGGCTGACAGCAGTAACCAATGTCACCTTGTATTCTCAGGGTGTTAGAAAAGGGCAGGCCTAATGGCTCCATGACTTAGGCTGCTCTTTGTACTTCTGTTCTCGGAGACAAGATTGGAACCACAGTGTAACTAGCTCTGTGAGGTCTAACGACAAAGGAAGAGTCAAAGATCCCATCTCCCAGCAACCACACTCCTCCTACCTCTGCCCCTTATTAGAAACTGCTTTGTAATTTGAGATGAGGGCAGGAGGCTGAGGGCCATGGCTGCCTCATCAACAGTCCTGTTCTTTTTGGCTGCTGTTTCTCTTGGCCTGAATAGAAAGTACATTAGAGCTAGACTCAGTAGCGCATGCCTTTAATCCAAGCAAGTGGGAGACTGTAGTAGGAATACCACAAGTTTAAAGACAACCTAGATGATATAGCAAGATCATCTCAGACCAAAAAAGATACAGTAAGACGACCCCGGTCACAGGAGCCCTTTGGATGCAGTACCTACCCCAGATTACATGTTCGTCCTGGAGCGGCAGGGTAAGAGGACAGTGCTGCCACCCTCACACTCATCTGGTAACTGATGACATAGATGTCTCCTACAAACAGAACCCGCCCTATGCCATATTCCTGTAGGGTCTTGTGTAGCCTGAGATTTTAGGGCTATCTGAATGTAGATAATACCGGTTAAACATTCAGAAAGCACGGGACCCTCCTTTATTAATGTTTTTCTGGCTTTGGGTATTTAATATATAGAACTCACTTTATTTTGAGGTTCTAGATGGTATAGGCCTTTTTATTTTCACAGTTCTGACTTGTCTATTGTGAGATTTCCTCTACCTTCGAGGTCCAGGGCTGTTCCAAGGTATCGTGTTTCCTAGAGCCGTATACACAGAGAAGGCCTGAGTGAAGCCCTGCAAACAGAAGTTGTTAGGTGGCCCAAGCCCCAGGTGAACAGAACCCAGGAGACCCCAGATGCTCATTCATGTCTTCCTCCTCAGGGCTTCATGACGCAGAACACCCCGAAGCAGAATGAGCACTGCCTCAAGAACTTTGACCTCACTGAATATCGGCAGGTGCTAAGCGATCTTTCCATTCAGATCTATCAGCAGCTCATTAAAATTGCCGAGGGCTTGTTACAGCCTATGATAGGTAAGCCACTGCTGGGGGCTGCTAGCAGTGCATGTCCTGGGGTCTGGAGGAAGAACAGGGTTGTGACAAGCTTGCCTTACTTTGTAGCAATCAGGTGTTACCGACTGTGGCCTCCACAAAGCCACGCCCATTCTGGGGTAGGCACGAGGTAGACAGAATCCAGCTAGTATATATCCATTTTCTTTGTCCCATCCCCAATGAGTTTAAGTGACAATTCGCTCCATAGTTATTCTATGTCAGATGAAGATCCACCACATTCAAAATTCTTTGCCAAATGTGTTAACTCCTTGCATATGTTGACCCCGTGCACCCCGAATGGTTTCATTGAGCTGACTAGACCTACAGCAGAGTTTTGAGGGGGACATACAAACTTCTCTAACTGTGTCTTCCTTTTAGTTTCTGCCATGTTGGAAAACGAGAGTATCCAGGGGCTCTCTGGTGTGAGGCCAACTGGTTACCGGAAGCGCTCCTCCAGCATGGTGGATGGAGAGAACTCCTACTGCCTGGAGGCCATCATCCGCCAGATGAATTCATTTCATACTGTCATGTGTGACCAGGGCCTGGACCCTGAGATTATCCTTCAGGTGTTCAAGCAGCTCTTCTACATGATCAACGCTGTGACCCTTAACAACCTGCTCCTGCGGAAAGATGCCTGCTCTTGGAGCACAGGCATGCAGCTCAGGTGAGAGAGGTGCTCGTACCAGCACGAGGAGACTGAGGGGCCCAACACGGGCTGGGGACAGGACACAAGACAGGTGTCTTGAAGGTGAAATCCACATCTAACTGGTGGCCCTTGTCATAGTCGGTATGTGACTCAAATCCGTCACCTTTTTATTGATTGGTAAAGTTCACCCAGCTGAGGCAGTGACCTGGTAAACAAACTAGTAGAGATGTTCACACTAGCTCAGCGGTCCTCAAATAACTGCTCTTTAAAGACTAACGAATGTGCTAGTTCAGCGAGAAAGATGGGTAAGTTATGAGTTATCAGGGTTCTCAAGTATAAAAGTTTGCAAATACTAAATATTAATTTTAGTTTAGTATATTTAGTGCTTCCCTCCCTGTTAATATATAGACACATTAGGTGTCTCATCTTTGCTTAATTTTAAGCATGCATTCATCTATTCATTCTTTACTCAAGATATGGTAACTGAATGCTAGGCACGCTGCAGTTTGGTTTTTTTAACGTGTGTGTGCATATAGGAGTGGTACATACAAGAACATGTGGAGGCTAGAGAACACCTCAAACATCCACTTAAAAAAAGGTCTCACTGAACTGGAACTTACCAGAGTTGTCTAGGTTGACTGGTCAACAAGGTGTCTCTACCTCCCCAGCACCAGCATTACAACTTAGTGCCACCTTGCTCATTTTTGGTTTTGTTGTTGCTTGTTTTGTAGTATGTGTGTGCATGCATGTGTGTATGCGTGTGTGTGTGTATCTGTGTGATTAAATATGTCGTCCTAGCCATGCGGTGATAGCACACGCTTTTAATCCCAGCACTCGGGAGGCAGAGGCAGGCGGATCTCTGTGAGTTCGAGGCCAGCCTGGTCTACAAGAGCTAGTTCCAGGACAGGCTCCAAAGCTACAAAGAAACCCTGTCTCGAAAAACCACATTAAACAAACAAATAAATATGTCGTCCTTATCGGCTTAGACCACGAAACCCAAAATGGACAAGTTCAACCACCATGCATGCTTCAGCATTACCAGGACATAAATTATTGGCTCAGCAGTTAAGAGCAGTACCTGCTCTTCCTAAGGTCCAGAGTTCAATTCCCAGCAACCACATGGTGGCTCACAACCATCTGTAATGAGATCTGTGTTTAAATATCGGTCTAGGAATCAAACTCGGGTCCTCATGCTTGCAAGGCAAACATTTTCCAAACTGAGCTGTCCTGCAAGCTTTGACCACATGAGAGAACTAAAGCAGGGGCTAGGATGACTCTCTTTACACCTAGCCTACAAAACACAGCAGGTACCCTACCCCATGAATTAACACAGCATCCTTTTCACCTGTGGCTAAGGTACAACATAAGTCAACTTGAAGAGTGGCTTCGAGGAAAAAACCTTCACCAGAGCGGAGCAGTGCAGACCATGGAGCCTTTGATCCAGGCGGCCCAGCTCCTCCAGCTGAAGAAGAAAACCCAGGAGGATGCTGAAGCCATCTGCTCTCTGTGTACCTCCCTCAGCACCCAGCAGGTACAGCCATTTGAGACCCGCACTGGCCCCGCCAGTCTGTTCTTGCTGGAAGTTTTCTGATGTGGGGCTCCGGGCCTTGTTGATACAATTCCCATCTGCAACTGATGAAATGGTCTTAATGAAGCAGAGATCACTTTGGTCTGTAAAACCCGATACCATTTCCCTGAAGCGTTCTGGTCCTTCCTATGTGCTAACTTACAAGGTGGTAAACCTGCAAACCTTGATACCAACTTTTTAAAGTTGCACGTACATGTGTACCTGTGCTATGATGTGTGTATATGGGGGGCAGAGGGAGGTGACTGGGAGGAACTGGTTCTCTCTCCCTTCCTGTGGGCTCTGGGAATTGAATTCAGGTAATCAGACTTAGTGGCAAGGGCTGTCACCCACCGAGCCCCTGCTGGCCTCATATCACAACTTTTAAAAAAAACAATTCCAGATAGTTTCTTACCTAAGAGATTTTTTCTGAATCTGTCAGTATGAGGCTGTTTGTTTTCCTTATATATTTTCTTTACAACTATAATTTTCATATGGTCATATTTTAAGACTCCATTTATATCATAGATGAAGCCTTAATGACCTAAAGGTACTTAAATATTATTTTAAATTCCTCACCCTAAAATTGTATTTATACCACAATTTGGTTGTAGGCCTAGGACTAGTCTATAAAGAGGCGAGTCCCCACATCTTGCCTTTGATCACGACCACTTAGAAACAGGCCACAGACAGAAGGGAAACCAGTCTCTTCCGATCAAGTGCATGGCCCTTCCCAGCCAATGCCTTTGTAGCCAGCTCTAAACTCAATCCAGCGAAGGCACACGCTTCTCTGACCTCCTCCACTGTCTGCAGAAGTGAACCAGAAAGCTCCTAAGAAAACTGCACATGTCCCTGTTTCCCAGCTCCCCCGCCCCAGGGACTGTTTTCCTTCTGAGTTTACTTATTACTTGTAGTTGGCCCTGCACGAGGCCAGGGTACTTCCACCAAAACAACCACTAGCCAGACAAAAGGTTGTGTGAGGTTAAGAAGAAAAGCTCACTTGCAAATAAATGGGGTTTTTTTATTTTACTTTTTTTTAATTTTTTTTATTTTATTTATTTATTTTATTTTATTTTATTTTGCTTTTTGCTTTATTCTCTGCATCCTTGGCTGTTCTGGAACTCACTCTGTAAAACAGGCTGGCCTCAAACTCACAGATCCCACCTGACTCTGCCTCCTGAGTGCTGGGATTAAAGGTGTGCTCCACCACCACCTGGCATAAATGAATTTTCTTAAGGAAGAGGCATAAGCATGGTTAAATGTGGCTAAGTAAGCCCTCTCTTATATAAGGTACTCTTCTGAAAAACCTCTAAATTGCCATCAGAAAAGAGGGCTGGGGCTTCCAGACGGCAGTTCTCTGAACTCATTGTGTGTAAGCCACCAAGCATAGGGGAGGGGTGAACTCTGAGAATGCAGTGCAGGAGCAGCCGTGCGTGGAAACTCCATATACGGCAGCCTGACCACACACCTAGTGGGGTCTGACCAAAGAGTCATACACAGGCGTGATGCCACTGTCACAGAGCCTTAAAGTTCGAAGTTGTCTTCATTTTGTCTAATTCTGCACTAAACTTGGTTTTTATTCCAACAGATTGTCAAAATTTTAAACCTTTACACTCCCTTGAATGAATTTGAAGAGAGGGTGACAGTGTCCTTTATACGAACAATCCAGGTGAGTCTTGGGGAATTCATTTTATAAAGTCCTCGTCAGAAGCCAAAAAGGACATTGAAAAAGCATATTTTAATCCTCTCTTTACTAATGCTGGCTACACTGTGTGCCAGAAAAACCTGCATTCATAGGCTTCCTGCTTTAATGCACATGAACCTTAGTGCCCACTATAATATTGAATATTGCTATAGTGATAATAGTAGTAATAGTAACACCCAGACAGGTGGACTTATCGTTAACCCTCCCGACTCAAGCATTTCATTGGCTGGAAACACCAGGTAGAAATAACAAGGGTGCTTAATCTCAGTTCCACCCAGATGGAACTAAGAAATATCCTCTAAGAATTCAATCCAAACTCTTAGATCATGTCCCCAAACCTCACAGTCTTTGTCTTTGCAGATATGGTAGGAAGAAACTTCTTAGGCAGATGTGTGTTTAGATCCATCTTAAACATGAGCTTCTTAAGCAGAGCCCAGGGAGTTGTGGGTCTGGTGGAGGACCTTGTGTGACAGTGACTGACAGGAGCTGATTGTTCTTCACAAAGCAGTGTCCCACAGTGACATGTGGGACACTGAACAGACACATTATATTGGCCAGCATGACTGGGAAATGGAGGAACACGATCAAAAGAGGAGACTGGAGAAATGGAGTTTTATCAAAGCTGCTAAAGAGGCCCCAGAAAACAAGAGCTCTGGTATAGAATGCTGTTGTCCTATTGACTGAGGTTTCTGTCCCAAAGAAATACACAGAGGCTTACATTAATTATAAACTGATTGGCCTAGTAGCTCAGGCTTCTTATTAACCCTTATGACTTATAATAGCCCATAATTCTTGTCTGTGTTAGCCACGTGGCTTGGTACTTTTTCAGCACAGCAGTCTGTAGTAATAAGGGGCGGCGGGGCTGCGTTCCCAGCACCCCAGCCGCCTGCTCGGCTAGCTTATGCCCCGAAATAATTACACAGACACTGTATTCTTTTAAACACCGCTTGGCCCTTTAGCCCTAGCCCTTACTGGCTAATTCTGTTATCCCGATCAACCCATCTCTAATAATCGGTGAGCACCGGTCTTACCGGGAAAGGTTCAGCATGTCTAACCTGGCGGCTTGCTTCATGGCGTGTGTCTGCCCAGGAGCGGGGCATGGCGTCTCTCTCTGAGGCATCTGCTCCCGAGAGGAGAGATGTGGAGTCTCTGACCTCACTTCCTCTTCCTCCCAGCATTTTGTTCTGTTTACTCCACCCACAGGGCCAAGCAGTTTCTTTATTGGCCAATGACCTTCCTCCATCATTTCCCCTTTTTCGGTTTAAACAAAAAAAAAAAAGGCTTTAACTTTAACATAGCAAAATTACATATAACAAAACAGTTATCAAGTAAAAGTTACAATAATCTTTATCATAACTAAGGAAAACTATAACTAACTATTCTTAACTCCATCAAAGACTCCAGAAAGACTACCTAAGCAAACAAGAAAAAAGCAACTTTTAAAACTCTAGAAATGACAGAGACATCTCGCTGCCTGGACAGTCACCCAAAGTTCCTCTGTACCGTTGGGGCATCCATCTTCAGCCTTCAGGCCCATGGTATCCAGCAGACATTTCCATAAAGCAGGAAAATTCAAAGTCAGTTCAGTCACTATCTGTTGTGTCCTGCAGAATGTCTCTCAGACTCTTTCATGAATCAGGAACCCCGAAAGATCATCTCACCTTAGGCAAGTTCAGTAGTCCTCTCTCTGCGGGTTCTCTGTTTCCAGTTTATGCAATAGTCCAGGCAAGAGCAGTTTCTTGCCCAAATGGCTATCAAACTCCATAAGGTGCCTCTTCGATGCCCATCTTCCTCTTGAAGTAGATTGGTGCTGCCAGGAGCAGAGTGTCTCATTGTCATGAAAAGTCCTCAGTTATTAAAACATTAAATGTCCTATTCTGTAATCTTTGAAAGACATGAAGAATGTCTATCTAAAATATATCTCTATATATCTAGAAAATCTAATTAACATGACTATAAGTTTTACTATTATCGATGATTATCCATTAACAACCTATATTTCTTAATTATACAGTACATATTTAAATGAACTACACAATCACAATACCTTAATCAAAATCAGAAACACTTATATATAACAAAATTGACCTTAAATCTCTATCAATAAAGCAAAATCTATACTAATGTAAATTATTCATAGCTATATCATATCCCCCTTTAAATGTAAAAGAATGTTTATAAACCATATTTGGGAACATGGGCGCAGTTTTTTCTCTCCAAACTGCTTCCTGCTGAATGGGGGCGTCGTTAATTAGGTCTTTCATGGTATAACCTGTGTGCTAGTTTCATCTCAGTTGGCAGTTGAGCGAAGCAATTTTCTGAAGGTGTTCACACCAACCCTTCAGGAGGACGTGGTCTATCATACCATATCGGGATAAATGCAATCCACAAGGTCTGATCCTCTGTGAAAACAAAAGAAGAATCTCTTTTCCAAAGTATCATATCTTTAGATCCAAATTCTGAAATCATACCCTCATGATATCCGTTCTGGTTCCACTTGGCAGCCCATATAATGAAATGTCTCTCTGTACTTAGCTCCTTCACAGTCAAAAATTTTAAAGAAAACACAATGTACATAATCCAGACTCTCTGTGAATTTTCCATTTTTACGTGGCTTATTTTTCTTTATTTCTTTTAATCTCTTAACTATCTGTACTCTGTCTCTTTAAAGACTTTACTTTTATTTTTTTAAACCATTAACTTTATTCTCTATATTCTTTTTCTTCTCTCTCCCAAGCCTATGTACATTCATCCACAGTGTGACTCATTTAGTGGTCTGAATCTGTCCTATTGTGAATCTGCAATTTTTTACTATCCAGGGGCACTTTTGATTTGCGCCTTTAAATCACTAGGCGCTTAAGAATCTAAGCTGTGACATTCCTAGGTTAACTTTTTGCTTTTTGAGCATATATCTTTGACCTGGAATATCTCTGTAGACCAGGCTGTCTTTGAACTCTCAGAGATCCGCCTGTCTCTGCCTCTCAGGCAGTGGGATTAAAGGTGTTTGCTACTACACCTTGAACTCACAGAGATCTGTTTGTCTCTGCCTTTTAGGCACTGGGATTAAAGGCGTGTGCTACCACACACAACAACTCTCTTCCTTTTTTTTGTTTTTTACTTTAAGAACTTCAACTTTTAGTCTGCATATATTTTTAACACACTTTAAACCATTCAGAAATTTTCTCTGTCTTTGAATCTCTCTTTACTGTATATCTCTCTTTTTCTGACCACATGAATCTTTAATTTACCAAGCAATATCAGTAGGATTAAAGGCGTGGCTTTGCCAGCTAGATCCAGTCCATTCCTTAGCTTTCCAGCCTCATGGCGGATATACAGGCTGTAGCTATGTTTACTGCAACAACTGTCTGGCATTTCAAGGTCCCTGCCAGCAAGTGAGCTACAACAGACAACACTCAAGTCCTCTCTCGGTAGCCGGCCCTCCTGCCTCAAACAGTCAGAGTTTGCCCCCGCTGGATGGCCCAGAAAGCCGGCATTTTTAAAAGGCGCAGCTTTTTTCCTGCTACGGCTGAAAACCGAAAAGCATGTGTTCAGCTTTTCGTCAACACCGTTTAAGTGTTTCGTGGCAGGACCTCTTAATGAGTTGCAGGATTTTGCAGCTGAAGCTGAGTCAGGAAGCCTCTCTTAGATGAGGCGCTTGCTTGCCTCTAGCAAGCAGAGCAGAACCGAGAAATTGCTGCTACCAAGAAACCAGGCACAATGCTTTCATTTTGTTCTAGAATTACTTCCCAAGCTGTCTCAGGCTTTATGTGGAAGCAGTTGTCCACGTGGGCGCCATATGTAGTAATAAGGGGCGGCGGGGCTGCGTTCCCAGCACCCCAGCCGCCTGCTCGGCTAGCTTATGCCCCGAAATAATTACACAGACACTGTATTCTTTTAAACACCGCTTGGCCCTTTAGCCCTAGCCCTTACTGGCTAATTCTGTTATCCCGATCAACCCATCTCTAATAATCTGTGAGCACCGGTCTTACCGGGAAAGGTTCAGCATGTCTAACCTGACGGCTTGCTTCATGGCGTGTGTCTGCCCAGGAGCGGGGCATGGCGTCTCTCTCTTGAGGCATCTGCTCCCGAGAGGAGAGATGTGGAGTCTCTGACCTCACTTCCTCTTCCTCCCAGCATTTTGTTCTGTTTACTCCACCCACAGGGCCAAGCAGTTTCTTTATTGGCCAATGACCTTCCTCCATCAGCAGTCACATCTCGTTTTCTCTGTGTCTGGATGACAACTGCAGACTGACTCTTTCCTCTTCCCACAATTCTCCTGTTCTCTTCATCCCACCTATACTTCCTGCCTGGTTGCCCTGCCTATACTTCCTGCCTGTCTACTGGCCAGTCAGCATTTTATTAAAATACAAGTGACAGGGTACAAACTAGTGTCCCACAGCATTGTCCTTTGCAAGGCTGGAGTTTTGTTCCGAGATTTAAAAGAGATCCAGAGATTTAGAAAGAGTGTCCTGGCTCTGAAGAGAAGACCCATGGAGAAGAGTAAATGAACTTTAGCCTGGTATTTGAGCAGAGATGAAGCCAGAGGTCAAGGGACAGATGCCAAGTCAGACTAAAGGGAGCTGTTGCCTCAAGGACACTGGGGAAATGCCAGGGCCTGCTAAGCATGCAGCCCTCAGAGCAGGCCAGCTCACCCACACAAGGGATGCACCGGAGTGGGAGAGGGAGGGTGCTGAGTGGAAAGCTAGCATAGGATGAGCGTAGAGTTAGCTCCTGAAGGCGGAGAATGGACTGGGAGACAGGAGAAACGCCACGGGATACCCCAACCCACTACTGATTTTTGTGGAGGTTTGAAAAGCAACCCAAACAAAAGTAAAAGTTTAGGAAGTCATTCTTGGATTTGAATCTGAGCCATGTGGGGGAAGGCCATAACTCACCATAAATTGGCAACAGTGCCATTTGCAAGAAGGGAGTTCAGTCCAAAGTAGACTGATAAATGCCAAGCA